AAAAAAAAAAAAAAAAATGTTTGTTAGAGTTTGTAGCCTAAACGGCTGAACAGATTTCGATGAAATTTGGTATAGATGTAGAGGGCAGTCTGGAAGAACACATAGGTTACTTACTTTTATTTTTTTTAATTCCACGCGGACGGAGTCGCGGGCGAAAGCTAGTTTAATTATAAAATACTCACATTCCAAACAATTCCATAGATATATTGCATTTGGCCAAATGTGTGGCCAACTCGTTGTCCAACGGCACTAAATACTCGTCCTTCACATGCTCCAGATATCGCACCACCTCGTTTTGACTCTGGTATAAAAAAACAACATAATTCATAATTAACCACGTAAAACAAAAAAAAAAGACCTTTTCAAAGGATTTTGTTACACAAAAACTTATGTCTAATAATATTCCTAAACAGTATAGAAAGCAATTTTGATTATAATTTAAATAAATTATAAAAAAATTAAACAAAGAATTATTAAAATTTAAGCCATCATCAATTTTTTTTATTTACAAATTTCAAATTAAAACTCTTCTTTAAGTTTAAACGAAATTATAGTAATTTAAAATAACTTAAGTTATCTAAGTGATTATAACTTACATGTACTGACGTGGAGGTGGGCAGTCTGCCGCAGGAGGAGGGCACCACGTCGCCCGTACTGTAGAACCTCTCCACTCCCTTCATTACAGCATTAAATAACATACTGCGAAAACACGACTAAAAATATACATCGAAGAAATCAAAGCAACTATCACAAAACTATACAATAATCATACTAATATTATAAATGTGAAAGTTTAGATGGATGGATGGATGTTTGTTAGAGTTTACAGCCTAAATGGATGTAGAGAATAGTGGAACACATAGGCTACTTTTGTTTTTTTTTTACAATTCCACGCGGACGGAGTCGCGGGCGAAAGCTAGTAAGTAATGTTTTAAAATTAATACTGATTATAGTCTAAACTAGCTGTTACTCGTAACTTCGTACGCGTGAAACTGAAAAAAATAATGAAAAATTGTACCCTATGTTACTCACTGACAACATAGCTTTTTAATGGTGAAGGAATTTTTGAAATCGGCCCAGTAGTTTTTGAGTTATTTCAATACAGACAAAAATACAAATCTTTCCTCTTTATAATATTAGTATAGATGACAATAACTGTAACAACATAAATGAGACACTCAGAACCACTGTTCTTGTCAGAATGGCGTTCCTAAACGTCAGAATGACATTGACAGCTGTCAGATAGGGAGGGGAAATGTATGCCAATAATCTAGTGTTGTCCCAATCCAATGCAGTACTGATTTTCTTCTTAACAATACATACTGACTATGGGATAAATTAATAATTTTTTATACACAATATATAATAACTACCATACAATTAAATTAAAAATACATACTGACTATCATGTTCCAAATAATCCTTATCTAAATAACATTTGAGCGTATCACTGAAACAATAAATAAGTATTAAAATAGTCAATCATAATAAAGCATACAATTATATTTGTCTAAAAACTTGTACGGTGAAGAAATTCAAAGATATGTGTGAAGTCTAAGAGTGGTCCGGCATTGACTAAGACCTAGTCACTTAATAAATTTTAATATTGGTCCCTTTCCACCCTTTTCCTATGAGGAAAGGATGGGAAGTAAAAATGTATTTGACGGTGGAGATGCATAGGAAGGGGAAAGATCACTTTTTTGTGCGTCTCCTCCGTAGATTAAGGGTAGATAATGCATTTGCATTTTGCTATTTTGGCGAATTCAGGTGGCCGTTTGTATGTTTGCCACTACATGTTATAAAGAAATCCAAAAAAAAGTATGCAATTTAATTTTGTCTAAATACCTGACATCATCCGGTGCATATTTTCTATCTTCGTATAACTCAAACAGTAACGGAGCCAATATTTCATGCATTCCTTGTCTGTAGCCTACTGAGTGAGATCGAGCCCAGAAAAATAAAACACGCACCTACAAATATTTTCATGGATAATTTTAAAAGCATTCAAGTTAAATGATTTATAAGTAAAGAATTAAGATTTTTGAATGAAAACAGTAAATTAAAAAAAAATTAAAAAGAATAATTTCTGTTTATTATGATTATGATTTCGTCGGTGGCTCAGTGGTTTAAACACTTGACTTGTAATCTACAGGTCTTGGGTTCGAATCCCGCCATGTACCAATGTGATGTTCGATTTTTATATGTATATAATTTACCCGACGTTCTAACGGTGAAGGAAAACATCGTGATGCACTGCACATATCGGCGAAGAAATTCAAAGATATGTGTGAAGTCAACCAACCCCCACTTGGCCAGCGTAGTTGACTATGGCCTAGTCACCCTTACTTAGTGTAGGCTTCGAGCCCCTCGGTGGGGACGTATACTGAGCTGGTGATAACTAGCATGAGTAGGTAGTCTTAAAGAATTTGAGGTTAAAAAAAATCCATTTTTAAATTAAAAAAAAAACACCAATATTTTTAAAAGGAAGAAAATGCCATCCACCACATCAGGTCATTGCTTCTACTAATCATTTGTTTGTTTTCCAAATTATCTTATCAATCAATTTATCTATTTGTTACGACAAAATAATACAAATTAAACTGTCTTTTGAAAAAAAAAACTAAAAAAAATTATTGCAAACTCACCATTAAATCTTGTACATCTTTATCTCTAAAATATACCTCTTCTGGATAAGTCCTAACAACATCCTGTAATATTAGAGCTTTCAGTTCATTGTCACAGAAATGTTGTTTCCATGCACTCTGAAAAAAAATACTTTGACATCACTTTGACACAAGATTCAGGAAAAAAAGTTATTAGAAAATACTTCTTATGTTACTCTTCTAGTATTTCTATTGGCCTGATCAAAAAGATAGAAAACTGGCCCTAAAAATAATTCTTATTGGACTGCTTATTTTTTGCATTAAACATATTTAAAAGGATAATTTTAATTTTAATTTGTATTGGTATCAAACAGACCTCATCATTCTGTGAGAGTGGGTCATCACCGATGACAGCTCGTGGGTCCATCGATAACTTGTCCCTTAAGTCATTGTAGAAGTTCCGATGAGCCTTAATACTGAAAAAAATTCAAAAACTTGTTCTACAAAACTCGGAAAATGTTAAAACTATATGAAAAAATTATTAATCTCTTAGACAGTTAAATTACTTAGTTATTATATCACTAGAAGGTGGAGGGAGGGCATTCAACAAGATAGCCCAAGCAAGACTCCTTGGCCTCACCAACTGGAGCTTCAATGCCGCATTCCTCAAATACTCCAAACTCCATGTTGCAAAATGTAAACTGGAAAAAAATTACACTATCTAAACATCTGTATTATGATAAAACTAGCTTTTGCTCGCGACTCCGTCCGTTAAAATTAAAAATAAAGCAAAAGAGAGTAGCCAGTGTCCAGCCAGACTATCATCTATGTTGATGCAAAATTTTATTCAGATTCGTTCAGCCGTTTTGGCTGCAAACTCTAACAAACATCTATCCATCTAAACTTTTGCATTTATAATATTAGATACATTGTTATTCCACTCATTCTCTTCAACAATGAGAGCAATAATCAATATTTTAAGGAGGTAAGATTTACATTTTTGTATATTGAAATAACTCAAAAACTATTGGGTTGATTTCAAAAATTCTTTCACCAATAAATAGCTATGCTACCATTCAGTTACTTAGGGTATGTTTATTACAATTTTTATTTCCACATGGACAAAGACACTAGCAACAGCTAGTACATAAATATGGTAAGTATTTGTAAAGTTCTCATTGTAATATTAATATTTTAAATATTCACCTATTTTCATACTTTATTTGTCAATGACTTGTAAATTAAACATGTAAAATTAATATATTGGATGAATTAATTAAAATATAAATTTCCATTATATTATCCACTGTAAGATATGAAGTAACAACAAACTTTCTAAAAGTTAAAGTCTTAGTTTCAATGACCTTAAGTAAAACCTACAAGTTTTTATAACAATTTCAATGTTGAATTATGAACTTATTTTGTAATCTTGTTTTTTATCTTTAAACCTATACAGACCAGTGTTAAATTAAGAAAAATAAAAGTAACGTGATTAATTGTTTGTTTTGTGATTGTGATAGAAGAATTGAACAAAGAAAGTCAATATTTAAAATTTGATAACATAATTTAATACTTACTCGTAATCTGTGGCTTCTACATGATTATGTGGCGGCGAACCCATCGAAGAATCTATGTTATTCGGCTCCTAAGTAAAACAAAAAAATAAAACTACATTTTGATTACAAATATTACTTGAATTAAATATGATAATACCATACCATATTGTATTAAACAGACATAGCGCACTATTGTAAATAAGACTTAAAATTGTAACATTAATCGATTGAAAGTTTATAGTACTTTATTTATAGTATTCTTTTATATATTAGTGTAAAATAAATAAAGAAAAACAACCGTTTCAAACCAGTTAAAATGTTGACAATTTGACAAATATTATTGATATTGAGTGCTGTGTCAAATGTCAAGCTGACAGCACAGATTACACAATTACACAGCATGGACCAAAGAATAAGAAGAAAGCACACTATGCAAAAAAAGCCGTATAAATGTACATTAAAATACACAAAACAAAAAATTAAACCATTAGTTTGAACAAGTATCGTATTTTGTGTAAGTTACACTTGCTATAGTTCTTAATTTATCACAGAAGTTTTTATAATCCAAGTTGAATCAACTTTCACGCAAAAAGCAGCGTATTTTATCTGTGGCCTGTGGATCTCTCGTTTTCTCGTTTCGTTAGTTTTGTAAAAGGCAGAATACGCTAGATGTTTGCATTTTTGTACAGTCTGACTATTAAACCTTATGTTTCGTTCTGGTCTTTATTTGACGTTCCTAGCAAGTATATGTGTTTTGGATACAATGTGTATGGTAACGATGTTCACAATAAGTTGTAACGTGATAACCGTTAGCGTGTTGGTGAGTGAAGCGAGATCGCATCGGCTGACACCTCTGCGATGATAATATACACTACTAGCCATGATCGCTAATCTACCGTTGCTTTTCACAAACGGCAACCCAATAGCGATATCAACAATATCAGCTTCACAGCTTGAGAAGTTTATAACATTTATGGTGACATGTTCTTGGGGTCACGACACCGTCAAAGACATTCGCCAACCACCATGGTGGCCGGAAGATGTAGAATTTTCTCATCCCTTTGTGAAGCCAGCACAAGTGCCGCAGGATTGGGAGACACGCTTGAAAAACCTTGTAAGGCGATGTTACAATCATCACAAGAGTGCATTTTTACTTGTGTTTTCTGGTCATCTCGCGCGCTTACCGAGAAGGAGGCTAAGGTTAGTTGACAATCGAGATCACACCACCTCTATGTACTACAGGCCAAATGGACGGCTTTTAGTTACTTTTAGAAATGAGAATCTTTTTTATGATAGAGAAGAGTCGGTGGAGAAAGAGCAACCGCTTGTGAAATCCACCGACATATATCTCTGTGACAGTTGTGATAGTCATTTTGATAATTTACATACATTACAAGCGCACGAGAGGCTTTGCAATAATGAAGTACCCACAAGCATGTGTAATGGGGGCCTGGCAGAATTTCTCTCTGCACTTAAGCTGCAGTCAACACAAGACATTGCCCATAATGCTAGTGCTAATAATATCAATGTAGACACTAGACCTAAGAATGCACGATCAGCTGCCAACATTGATAGAGGTCCTCCCTTCCCATTTTCTTCCTTAGCTTATATGCGGAATGTTAAAACGAATGTTCAGAGAGATTCCACATATTCTAGAGAACGAATTGAAAGATATTGTTGTACAACGACTCCTTTGAATAGAAATGTAGTTAGCAAAAGTAGAAATCAATTTACAATTAGGTACAGAAGGCCTATAGATTATTGGCACAGAACACACATGTTCCCAAATCAAAGAAACAAGAAGTTACTTGATATAAAGGGACAACTTTTATATCTTAAGTGTAGGCCTGTATCTGTAAATGTTGAAAGAATGTCATTAAAGAGTATGACAGACTATATTGAAAAACTCAAGGAAGAATCGGAGAGAAGAATGTATGTTGCAGACAAAGATATAGTGTATGTTGATGGATTTGAGTCTGATGAGACTGCAGAACCTGATGTCAGAAGTGCGGATCCATTGAAGAGATTAGACAACGATTGTGAAGTGATTGACTTGTGTTCAGATGATGAAGAACCTAGTGGCAATGAGAATTGTGATCCACGTGCTGGTGTTACTTGTGTTATGAGAGGTGGTGCAGTGCTGCGTAGGGCTGCGGCAACACCAAATGCCCTGCCAGCAGAGCCCTGCGGAGCACGTCAGCGACCTCTCCCAGTACTCCAACACTTGCCTTCCGCAGTGCTTCAGCCACACCCTGTGATTCTGATCGCTCATACTTTGAACAATTTACAGACTATAACTTTAGAATGAATTTTATATTTTAATTATTTCAGGGATTTTATTATTTATTGCCCTAAAGCTTTTGACTAATGGAAAAGTTAAGGTTGTAACATATAAAAGCATTGTACCCATCTGGCAGTGACTCTTGCTATTTAGTGTCAATTGGTGGCTAAAATTATATCTATCCACAACTGCTGGTTGGGTATGATTCTTTTTTAAATGTGTGGTAACCTCTAAAACCAATATTATTCATCAGTATAGGTTTTATTTTTATTAAGTTTTTGCTTTTGAGTTAGTATCAGAATTTTGTTAAATTTTCTGATTTTTCAAGCTTTGTCAACAATTTGTGATATTAATAACTGATTCTTGTAGATGAAGAAACAAAGCTTATACTTTGAATATCTTATTTATGAACCTGATTATGAATGTAATTTAAATAATTATCTATACTCTATATGTTAATGTTTATCTTTAATTGACAGTTGTAAAAAGTAATTTTCTAAGGCTGTGTTCAATTCAAATTTATTATCTGTAATTGGCTTTGGTCAATGTAACTTTTTTTTTCAAATTCAAAATTATTCTTTGCATCCTCACATCTATGCAATCACTAAAAATCAATGTAATGGGATTGAAAACATTGCTGTTTGCTTTTATACTGATAGTGTAAACTGTCAGAATATGATAATACATTTTATGTGAACATGGCCTAAATATAAGAAATTTTCTATGGCTCTATGTACATTAACCCTATTTTGCAGTATTAAATTTCCAAATTTGAAAATTTTAATGATGCACTTATTTATTTCGTTTAACATACTTTACAATAGTTTAGCATTAATTGTGATTACATATTTGGGATTACATAAACTCTTATTTATGTAATAAATCTTATGCAACTCTAAATATATCATGTAAATAGAACAATAATTAATTCTTGTAATAAAATCACAATATTTGCACATGACTATTTTATTTTTAATGAGTTTATGTTAAAAAAAACTGGTTTCATAAACTTATCCATTCGCATCGCTTAAGAAGCATAAAAATGCCTTGCGCGTCGCAAGATGGCGGCTTTTCTTACATTTCGGAAACTCAACCGAATCTGCGTATACATTTAAATTTCTGTATTTAGCTCGCCCTGTTGTTTAATCCCTTGAATAAATTCAAGCAATTAAAATATTACTACTTTTGTTGTACAGAATGTATACTATAATCTATTCTGTAATTATTCTAATTAAAAGATAGCTACACAAAATGGCGCATGACAACAATTCCCTTGATGTCCGAATCAAACTATGCAACTTGATTTTATTATTCTTTGCTTTGTTTTAGGAATCAAACAACCACAAAGGCTCCTAGTATTTTCTAACTGCATCACATTATGTATCGGGTTAGTTTTTATTAAGATACTTGATTCATACCTCATCTATACTAATATGATAAAGGGGAAAGGTTTGTATTTCTGTACGTAATAAAATAACTCTAAAATTACTGGGCCGAAAAATTCTTTCACCGTTATATTTTTTTTATTTCATGCGGATGAAGTCGAGAGCAATAGCTAGTTAATAATATAGATCGATCGATTTTTATATAACATACAAAATACTTAATTGGTGAGCAATGCGCCATCTAGCTTCATTTCTGGCAATTCTAAAAAGCTAATGAAATGACTTTCACATATAGAGAAAATCTTCAGACTACCTACCAATTGCTATATTCTGTGAAAGAGTTTAAAACGTGTTATACTTTTTAAACTCTTTCACAGATTTTTTTTGGAAAAATATAGGTGGTTGACTTTACTGTCTAAATTGCAGTATTGTTAATGTTGATGAAGGGCATGTTATCTCTCAGACAAAAATCTTAAAAAAGGGTATTTTGTATGTGCCTCTCAACCCCTTTTATTGTTAGAACATACTAGAACGTCAGTAAGTTATTTGTGCGAAGAAGGATGAATACAATATAACAAAATGAAACGAATTACGATGTATAATTTTATAACAAGAAAACATACATTTAAGGAAAATACTATGGACTTTAAATTTCTTCGTGGCTGACTCTGCGATGCGAATTCAACGGCCGTCGGCTTTCCTCATCGGAACCATAGATAACTTCTTCGTCCGAATCGTTGATCATAGAGAACGCCGGATTGTCTTTGGTTATGGCCGATTCTGAAAATATATATTCGTTATTACGTTTTATTATACAGATTTTTTAAAAAGTAAATAAGGCTTACCGTGAATGGATCCAATGCCAGGCGAGAAGAGATATGCTAATAGATACATTTTAAAGTTAAAAAGGCCATAGAGGGCCATGAATGGTGCGGACGTATCGTAGGCGACCTTGGGCTGCGCGGCCCAGTGGTCCTGCAGGGCGGCGGGCCCCCACGACTGCAGCGCCAGTAATGTTGTTATAGTCGTCACAGTAGCGACTACTATAGACAGGCAGCGGAGTCTTATGTCTGGAAAACGACAGAACTCATTTCTACTTGTCTTAAAATTCTTCTGTATACAGCAAAGTGAACGCAGGGCGTAAAACTTACCGAAGAAAGGCATATTCCGCAAATCACTGTATGCTTTGATAATCAGAACGATCAAGTATAAGGAATATAGAACGATGGCGCCGAAGAATACGATCTTGATGACCTGTCAGATGGAAATTGTATTAAATAAAATTTCAAGGCCAAAAAAAGAAAAAAAACAAGAATACTTGATTGATAACTTGAAGTAATTATTCGATCACTTACCGGATAATTAGTATTCATAGTGTAGTTAAAAGTTGGATCGTAAAACGCGTAATATTTTTGCCAGACTGTGATGATCATAACGGGCATCCACACGAGTCCAACTACTATTAATTTGAACAAATAAAATGACAAGAAACCTCTTTCATTCTGAAAGAAATTAAAAGATATGAATTAACAAAAAATACTGCAAGTCAATATAGTCCTTCGAGTCGGATACTAAGAATTAATAGTTTTTAGGCGTTATAACGGAGTTAGTAAGATGGTTTAAAAGATCGACGATGTACTCACTTGTCTTAGTCCATGATATAGAGCGAGCCAGGACAAAAGGACGCACGCGAGGAACATCGATTGGAAAACCGTATCGATAAATGGTGCGAAACACCCCGTTGACACCAATCGCAACGGGAATAATGGGTCTGAGGGTCAGTTAAATATTATGGAATTTTATAACAGTTTTATATGAGGAAATACATGAGTCAGATTCATACCATTGTAAAGAAGAAGCAAGGGCAGCAGTATCGACAACCACTTTTGTTCTATTGCCCAATCTTGTGTGGAGTATTTCCTTAGCGAATGTGCGAACCAACACTGAAATATTAATAAGTTTACTTTTTTTTATAAATCTAACACTATAAGTTCAAGGGCTCTAAACGTAAATTGTAGAATGATTTTTTTAAAGTGTATGCCAAATAACTTACCGCTACTGTAAATGTTGTCAGTAAAAAAATAAATCGAAACCACGTCTCCATTTGTGTAAACGCTGGATTGTACGTTTTAAACTGCAAGAGAAATGTAAAAATAATATATTAGAAAAATCCAGAAAAAGAAATGAAGTAAATTTAGTTCCAAAACTTTAATTTTCTCATTCATTTACTCACGTAGAATACAATTTCTCGTATAAAGTAACGTTTATGGAATTCCTGTAATCCGTAGAATCGTAAGTTAAGAACGTAATGCGTGAATTCCAAGCTGCCCAAATGTAACACCATCACCTCTTCACATATCTGCTTCTTACATTTAAGATGCTGTGTTCTAAAAAATAAACATTTTTAAATCTGTAAAATACCTTTATAACTGACAACATTGTCATTAGAATCATTTCGTAGATGGCAACAAATCTTTCTAAATCAAAACAAAACTACTCAATGTTGATTTAGCGTTTTCGATTATTCGCCCATTTATTCAATTAGCTTTAGAATGTTAAAAATTGCATATTTACCTATTCGTGCCTTCGGATTCGGGCAGCAAAGTAGTTGCAGAATGATCACTCAGTACTCCATCTATAGATATGCTAATCTGAAAACTTTTGTCGAATATTTCCTCTGAAAAGACATATGAATAAATAAGAATTTTTATTTTAATTACGTTACTATTTTGCGATGATGAAAAACCCGCTAATCTCGGGAACCAGCTATCAGATTTCATTGTATTAACCAGCCTGAATTATAACAGTCTATAAATATAAGGCGGAATGATACAGGAAAACCACAGTAAATACAGTTTAAATATAGGTCAGTGCTCACCGTCATTATTGTTGGTAAGTATCTCAGCGAAGAGCCAGAGTTGCTGAGCGCGCGTGCCGAGCGCGGGGCTGCGCAGCGGGTACGGCCCGCGGAACACTTCGCTCGCATTAGCGAGCACACTACTTCCCGCCACTGACGTCAACGACGTCGGAGAAGGACCTGCCGATAAAACCAAGTATAATCTAAGTGTAGGCAGAAATTCCATATTCCTAGAATGTGCTAGGAAACCCTCGTTGGTGTAGTAAAGGTTACACCCATCCCTAAGGCTACAGAAAAATCTATTTATATTTAAGTTTGAATCTAACTTTAAAATAAGGTTTATGTTATTAATCTTTTTTACACGAAACTTTGTCCACGTGAAATTACAAAAAAATATAGCCTGTGTTACTCAGCGATAACGTAGCTTTTAATAGTATAAGAATTTTTGAAATCGGTCCAGTAGTTTTTAAGTTATTTCAATACATACTAAAATACAAATCGTTCCCCTTTATAAGTGTAGATAATCATTTTAAGAAAAGAAATTCAGATGTAGTTGACATGATAAACTGGGAATTTTACATACCAGCTAGTCCTATGAAGACACCTAGGCCGAAACAAGCAAAAAATGCTATAAAAACCATCACAAACTCCCCTTTGTGCATCGAGTAGATCCTCATTGGCACGGACCTGAAACACGAACACATTTTAGAGTCTTATATTGTTGTTAATGCCAAGAATATTGGGAGTTTCTATTGGAAATTCTAATTGCGCAATTTTGAAAAACAGTGTCTAAATACATCTGTTTATATACTTTACACAACAAATATCTAACTTTGAACATTAACTTACCTCTCACATCGATCATGATGATAAGCGGGCGCAATATATTTATTAAATTCACTAAATAAGTCACTGAATTGGGACAAAGTGTTCCGTATCTTGTAATTCCATCCTGCGGTAGGAAGATTGTAGGAATATCCCACATTTGCCGTATCCATTGTCACCTTAGATCTACAATATACTAAGAAAACGCAAAACAACTAAAACTAGCGAAATAATAACAAAACGAACTACAAGACGTTACGAAATAGCTTATATCTCCCCCACATGTATCTCTTGTTTACAAGCATATTATTGATTTTTTTGAGATTGCCATATCCAGTGTTTAGGGTTTTTATGACGTGGCATTACATTCATGACTGCATGAACTGTAATCATTAAAAAAACGAATTATAATTGCTCTATATATTGGTGTTTTTAAATAAAATGTTTGAATGTCATAGAGAAATAGAATTTACTTACGGTGAAATATTGGATTCAAGTCTGTTGGCGAAAGTATTGATTTTTTTGATAGCGCGAACTTTCGAATCGCTTGTAGTATAAGTTGTTTATGCTTTATTATTTTGATACTAGTTCATTGTTTCATTAAAGGTCCCTTGACTTTTTTTATACAGATAACGCACTAATTATTTCATTGTAAAAAAATGTAGATTAGATGTTTACAAGAATTTTGTGATAATTATAGGTTATAAATGAAACATTTTTCTCAAAGATCTTTTTTATGTGAACACATTTTCACAGGGTTGTGTAAATCAAACATATAAATTAGGATATTAAACAAACAACGATCGGAATTAAAACTTTATCAAACGAAATACAAGCGACATATCAAAATTTTTTAAGCACACAAGTCAAATAACACGATTATTTCTAATATAATATTTACATTTAAAAAAAATATTAATCATACATTACTTCGGGTTTCAATTATCGAAGCATTTGTAGAACATATAGCTATCTCTTACTTTCTCATAGATTAAACAGAGACAACTTGTGTAATACAAATGTAACGGCAGTCGAATTCACATAACCTCCAAAACATTGGTAATTATTAATTAATGTTACTATTATTTAATTCCAAATTCAAAATATAGTCAAAATACATTTAAAAAAGATCGAAATATCAATTCATATGTTTTTACATTCGACTATTCAATGAATTGGAATTAAATACGCCGATAAATCTAATTTGGTATCACTAATAAATATATTTCGTATATAATAGTTTTTCTATATTAGTTATTCTTAAGTACGTTTATTATTTACATGAATTTTGAACACTTAGTAATATTGTGAATACTGTTAATTTGTAAATCGCAATATTATAAACTGTGAAACTGAATTTTATACGGAGATTAAAAAATGGTTATAAAAGAAAGTGTTTTTTGTGTTAATTGAAGAGAAAAATTAAAGCCTCAGACTACGCTATTAATCAATTAAGACTTTTCAGTTTATATTTTCTTACTAGATTATAAAATCGCGAATTTACAAACTACCAATATTCACAATTATAGTGAAGTACACATAAAAATAAATATACCTTATAATAAAAAATAGCATCATTAAAAGTTCAATTAATTTTTTTTTTTATTAAAAAGGCAACCAAGCTTGTTAGTAAATATTGCCATATGAAAAAATCTAACAAATACATTAATTCCATCAGGTTACAAACACCCTATCTCACTTACAAATAAATGCAATAAACAGCATGTGAACCTGATTTTGACAGCTGTCAGTTTTATAATCTATGACGTCACTGGAGACCAGAGACAATTCGCATACTTTTAGTCACGCTTGTAAACCACGCGGTGGGTTAGTTATTGCAATGCCCACAGATAAAATAAACGTCATATAAATAAGTTAATTGTGTGGTTGAATTCAATGGAAATTAAAAATTATATTTACAGGCTATATTACATCGTTTATAAATACATTTGGAAAGTTTCAGAGTTTATTGAAATAAATTATATTAAATTGACTGTTTTTAATAAGCCTGTAATTTTTTTAGGCAGTTTTGTTATAATTTCTTACTTCCATTGAAATTCACTTGACGTTTATCTTAGAAAATAATTTATAAAATTACATCGAAGTTTACTTCATTAAGTTCCTATCTAAATTAAAAGATTATTATCTGCGAGATATTCTACATTAATTACATATGTACTATTTTAATTTATTATGCATTTGAACTTATAAAAAACAGATTTGTTGAATATACGATTTTTAGTCCAAGTAGTCATTTAAATTACAATAATTATTAACAATGATAAACAACTAGATATTAATTAAAAAGGAACATATGGCAACACTGACTACCGCGTGGTGCTGTGCGGCGTGGTGTCGGCCGCCATGTTGAATGTAATATTCTGTGTGAACGGCGGCTGAGTGCTGACTGGCTCGTTCAATGTTGTACCATTAACTGAAAAAAGAAAAAAAACATCATAAGAAATTCGTCATTTAATCTTTGACAATTGATGATTTAATTTTTTTATTGGTTATTAATCATCGATTGTGAACAAAACTAGTAAAACAAGAAAAATAAAAATATTTTTTGTATTAAATTATAAAATTGAAATATATCTAATTAATTATTTACTGCTACGATCACTAAAATCTTGTTTGGATGTGTTTACATTATGCAAGTTCAATTTCAGTCTACTATTGATCATACGCAGTTCACACTTGGCCAGTACAGTCGGACAGTTGCAACAGCCAGTCACTGATTGTATGTCCTCACTGTCGACAATTAGAGTTCGCATTATCCTAGTAGGATTACAGTCCATTAACACTGTCCAACTTACTAGCTTAGTATGAAAGAGGCGTTAGTGTAGATGTTGTACATAGTTTTGGGTAGAGTGAGTAACAAGTGTTTACCAGTGACGTAGTTGCGGAACCAGTTGTTGATGTCGCTGGCATGGCGGGAAAGCCAGCGGATACGCATCGCGGCGCTGTCCGCGATCTTCTGCAGCGTCTGCGACATCGGCATCAACTCCTCCTTGTGCTCGTGAGCGAACTTCTTGAACTGGAAATACATTTATTTATACTAATATAATAAATTACAGTATAGATGGATGGATGTTTGAAGACATACATATTTTTTTTATATTATGAGGTGGCAAACGATCAAGCGGCCACCTGAATTCGCCAAAATGGCGAAGCGACCGCTGCCCATAGACATCTGCAATTGCAGATGCGTCGCCTACCCTTATCCGACGGAGGAGGAGACGCACATAAAGAGGATATTTCCTCTTCCTATGCATCTCCTCCATCGTCAAATCCAGTTCCCCCTCCCATCATCTCATAGAGATAGATAGAAAAGGGTTGTAAAGAGAAAGGGTCTTAAATTAGGGCTCCGGCACCACACTCATCAGACGAAACACGGCATTGGTTCCATTTCACGCCTGTCTTCTGTGTGGTCGTGGTATTACTGGGGGCGTGCCGGCCCTGCAGTGCTAACATGTTAAAGCGGGCACTACCACTGAAAATCTCCTATACGACTATATTTTTTCTTTGAACGTAATTTTTGCAATTTTATATATTAGTTTATAAACTAGTACTAGTAAGTTCATTTTTAAATACTAAAGATGGAGAACGAAGAGAAACTAGAAACATGTTTTTCAGTTGGATAGTAGTAGATTAAAGGCTATATATTAGGAAGTTAGAAAAAAAAACCCACAGTGTGTAGTGTATGGCTGTACACTACGTTACAAAAAAAAACTTTTTTTGTATATTTTTACATTTATATTTTTAGACTATGCAAGTGTACCAGCTTATTGTTGAAGTATGTACACTTTTAAAATTTTTATATATTAAAAAAAAAGATTTACCATCTTAAGATAGAAAATATGCCAACACTCTATGTTACAGAAAAAATGTTAATTCTTATAAAAAAAGTTCTTTTTTTTTATTATTTGTTCTAATGTACTTTTCAGATAATACGATGTTATTATTGAGTGTTTTACATTTTCAAAATATTTCATTATATTGAAAAAAAAAACAAGATTTACCATCTTACAATAGAGAAAGTGTCAAATGGCTAGCAAGAGGTCTACCTAACTCACCTTATTAAGTTCTTCAGTGGTGGTAATAAATCCGAACGCACCGCCGACGACCGCCGGGAACATGAAGGAGTCCATCTGCGAGAACTTGTCGTAGACGCGGCGGAAGTTGTGCACGAGGAAGTCCTGCGCCAGGCGCGTGCCCAGCGGCGGCTCCACGCTCCACGCCGCCACCGCGTACTGCTTCGGGATCTCCGTCAGACTCTTCTCTAACAGCCTGCGGAACACCTACCTCTGTACTAGCTGCCACTGTGTCCAACTCAAAATAATACACCAATTCTTGGTTATTCACCAAAGAGACAAATCTTACATCTAATGATTTAGTGGCAAAATTTAATCATTAAAAAGTGTCTTTTTTCAAATTCCCTCGCTGAGTTCTAAAACGCATACTATTGGTACAAGTGGCTTATCCAATATGGCGTCGCTGTGTTGTCAATACACAGTTCATTTTCGTTAGTTTATATAGAAATACACTCTTGAAGTATTTTACTGTAAACACGATATCAAAACCAACTTTAAAATAAAAAAATAATGAATAGAATTATTAATTACCACTTATTTGTACCAGGAATAATAAAAATGAATCGATTTTTGACTTTTTGACCTTGAGAAGCGATGAGTTACTTTGTTGTTATTTACGTCGCAGTGACATCTGAGCGTATGTTATGAATGGAATATGACGATTGACGTTAATTGTCTATTGACAACTCCGGTCGCGTTTTAGTCGCTCAAAAATGTTCGTAATTTTATTTTATTATTTTTAGCTCAATGGTTAAATATTTTCGCGTCAATTTTTTTCTGGTTATTTTATAACAAGTAGAATCGTTTAAAAAAAAGAAAAAAATGCATATTCCCTATTGCGGTACAAAGAAACAAAAAGTCAAAGACATTTAAGAAATATGTAGACTAGACATAAGTAACAACACCGGTAACTGTTTTGTGCGGTAATATCTAAATGTCATATTTGACACGCCGAGACGCTTTCGTGTTTGAATTTTTTTTTTTTATATAATATAAGGTAGCAAACAAGCAAGCGGCCACCTGAATCCGCCAAAATGGAAAGCGACCGCTGCCCATAAACATTCGCGATTACAGATGCGTTGTCTTCCCTTTTGTTGACGGCGGAGACGCACATAAAGAGGATATTTCCCCTTCCTATGCGTCTCTTCCACCATCAAATCCACTTTTCCTTCCCATCCTTAGCCTCTTAAGAAAAGGGTGGATAGTAAAGGGACTAAAATTAGGCCTCTAGGTATTTTGTAAAAAATGTTTCAAGTGAAATATCAACTATGCATACTCTACATTTTTTAAACTCTTTGCAAAAAGTAAATCAAATGAAATGTAATAAAGGATCTTACATAGAGATGAGCGACTCCTGCCTGGTGCTGGGCAGCACGTTGATGGCCTGGCTCCTGACGCCAGGGTCCGTGGAGTTGAGGAACAGCTTCCAGAAGAAGTCGAACTCGCGCCGGCCGCCGTGCTTCACCGCCATGTTGTAAACCAACGAGCGTAGGTAGTTTGGTATGCTGAAATAAAATGACCCAAATTTAATAACCACCTGAATTCGCTAAAATGTCGAAGTGACCGCAGCCCGTAGACATTCGTGATAGCGGAAAGTTGCCTACCCTTAATCGACTATGTGTCTCCTCCACCGACAAATCCACGTTTCCTTTTCATCCTATTCATATGAGAAAAGGGTGGGATGGAAAACGAACTAAAGTTGTGCCTCCGGCAATTTCTTAATTATTCTTTTTTTTTATAAAAAGCTCTACACTTACGTCTCGCTTTAGACTATATATTTTCACGTCATTAAACTTAGGGGGTAAATATTTTGAATAAAAATCCGAATGCGGGAAAGAGACCATAAGTTGCTGCCAACATCAAGGAAGTAAGATTGCAATGGTTTATCATCATTTTATGTTTTTTTGACAAATGTAAGCAATAAAATATTCATAATTTGATGCGGATGAAGCCGCACGGGAACAGCTAGTTAGTAATAATTGAAGTATAGTTACGGGTTATTAGTGAGGTCTGCCTGGCTGGCCCAGCTGTGGAACTGCTGGCGCGCCCAGTCCAGGCAGCGCGGCGCCTCCACCAGGCACTCCCACATCACCAGGTTCTCTATCAGGAAGGCCTCGTTGTCGTCTTTGGGCGTGTTAAGGCCGTAATTGAGACGTTCCAGCTGCTTCTTCAGTATTATCTTCATGTAATCCTGTGTAATTAATTAGAAGTCACTTAGTAAACATTTACAAATAAACGCGGTATAAAGTTAAATTTAGGAATAAACTGAGTATAAGCAAAATTTGTACTAATATTTATTTGACCGTTTTTATTTGTAAGGCAGTTAGGGGTTGGATCCAAGCGATTTATTTTTGCAATTCAGTCACAAAACATATGATATTTTTAGCCCCCCCCCCCACTTTTTCATGATATTACGTTATAATTCAACTTTGTAAATCTACTTGATAATTTTTTTAGTTTTAAAATTTTGTGATGCCTTATAGGAAGGATTTTTTGTTAAAACACCTTTATCTGTTAGAGAAATTTCCCTGAAAAAGGCATGAAAGCCCCATTTTAATTTGTAATTTTGTATTTAATCTACAGTAGCTTTTGAGAGCGACACCGTCCACGCAGAATTAAAAAAAAAAACTTATTACTACTATATGTTTTTCGAGACTATACATATATGCCAAATTTCAAGGAGATCTGTTCAGCAATTTAGAAGACATCTAACAAACATCCATCATCAACTTTCCATTTTAAAAAAAATTGTAAGTTTTCAATCTAGTAGCTGGCAACCTTATTGCCCTGGCGACGCCATTTAATAGTCACAGCGTATTAAAACAACCTTACCTGGAAGTAAACATATCCTGAAGTAGCTCTCAAGTTATGCTTCAAGAAATACATATTACTGAGTAATAGATCCCATACTATCTTAGAATCTTCTCCGTTAACAACACACGTGGTGAGTCCGAGCGCGTAGCTGTACTCCAGCTGGTCAGCCTTCGCGAAGTTAAAGGCATCATCTATCAGCTGAGCCTTACTCAAAGGACTACTGAACGAATCAGACTTTAAAGCATGGTTTAGAAGTTCCCAGTTCCTCTTGTCGTAGTTCACACGATAGTAACCTGTTTGGATTAAAAAAATACGTATTTTTTATACTAATACTAGGAAAAATATTAGCAAGAAGCTTATCTGGTTCAGACTATGATTTACATCTGTGCACAAACAGTTCCTAATAATCATCCATCCAAAATTTCGCATTCATAATTTTATAAAGAAACATAGTGAGATAATAAAGCGTAAACACACTTCTTTGTAATACAGGATGTAAGCAATAACAGTATAACATATCTATATATTGCAATCAGAAGAAGAAATTAATTTGAATTTAAGTCATAATTAGAACACGAGCGCGGCAAAGCGACTTTCGTGAGAACTTAGACTATTCTGAAAATAGGGATCGTTGCGAGAACATTGTTTGAACGATATGAGCTTGGTAGATCGATGATATCCTGACTGAGGAGTATTGTGAATGTGTTCTTTGAATCCGACTTTATCCATGACCGCCCACATGAGATCTCGAGTAGTAGTAATTCTGATATCGTGCTAGCTCAAGCCGACATATATATTTGTTTTATTTTATTAAAAAGCTTTAAACCTTTGATAAGCTTTGTGTTTGATATTTTCACGCTATTAAACTTAAGGTAGTGAAAATTTTGAAAAAAAAATCGCTTTACGAGAGAGAAAAACTGCAAGTCAATAGCACCAAAGAAGTTAGGTTGCTATAAGGACTTATTCTCAGCCAATAGCAGCAAAGGAAGGTTGCTATGGTTATTTAAAGTCGACCAATAGCAGCAAAAGGTTACAATAGTTACTTGGCATTACCATTTGAGTTTGTTTTAAAATGTGTGTTTCGAATAGAGGTGAATTCTTACCGATAGCATCAATATTGACGTACAAAGGCTGGGTGTCGTTTATGTGCAGGTCTGCGGAGGCGGAGGCGGCAGTGAGCCACAGACGCGGCCGCGTGGTCCAGCGGGCGCGCGGCACGTCCGTGCTGGCATAGCTCAGTGGAATGTGCCACAACTGGTCTGTCATCTCCTTGTATGGCTCACCACTACTCGTGAATAGTTTCTGCATGAAGTCATTTAAGTGTTTACTTTCATTAAAGTTTTTATCAGGCAAATGGCTGAATTCGCTGATTTTTTAAAATAATTATTTACACGACTAACATAAAAGGTAATGTTTTTATGTACATGGCGACGTGAATTTACAGATTTTTTTTTATAAAATTTTTGTTTTATTTATGTAATTTTTATTGTAACCGCTTACAGTCTAAACTAATGCACAATTTTTGACGAATTAGGTGTTATTCGATTTATCAACTTTCCCGGAGTGTCATAGAGTATTTAACATCGACAAAAAATACCTACAGTGAACGTGAGAATTGAAAATCTAAAAAATAATAAAAAAAAGTCCGAATCACATTCATAACTTGCTAATTCATCTCTAAATCTTTTTTTAATTCATGAGTCATTTTATATTTGGTAAGTCTTATAGGTGCTTTTTCTTTTTTTTAAGTCATTTGTATGGAAATATTTATGAATAGCTTACCTGTGTGAAGGTAACCTGCCCGGTGGTGTAGTCCCTCTGCACGTGTACCACGGGGTAGCCCGCCTGCCGCGTCCACGAGTTCATCATATCAACCACCGACAAGTGCTGGTACAACGAATGGTTCTCTATGGCTTCCGACATCGCTTCCCACAAATCGTTCTCAACCGCATTCGAGTATTTCCTGGAGTTATTTTAATCTTAACATTAACGCGTATAGATATATGTTTGTTAGAGTTTGTAATCTAAACAAGAGCATAGTCCGAAAGAACACATGGATTACTAAAGTTTTTTTTAATTCCGCGCAGACAGAGTCGCGGACGAAAGCTATTGTCAAAAATAAATATAGATTACTCAGTGATAATATAGCTTTCTAAGAATATAAGAATTTTTGAACTCGATTCAGTAGTTTTCGAGTTTATTTGTTACAAACAAAAATAAAAATATTTCCTTTTTACATTAGTATAGATTAACACATAATATGCCGATTTTTTGGAAAATAAACTCAACAGGCGTTAGAACTATAATTCAGATTTTATACTATTCACTTACAAATACATATATATGGAACATTTTAAAGTCTATTGGTGAAATTTAAAATTTAGGAAGAACAGACAAATTTACATAAATAAAAATACAAGAAACTAGCAGTTCCCGTGCGGCTTTATCCGCATGAAATGTTAATCACTTTATTTCATTGTTTATATTTGTCAAATGTCAAAATTGTTGACAGCTTGTAGTTTATAGTCCCTTTCCCACATTAGGGTTTTTGTCCAAAATATTTACCCTCTAAGTTTAATGGCGTGAAAATATATAGCCTAAAGCGTGAAATAAGAGTAAGGATTTTTATAAAAAAAAGAATTATTCATAAATATGCTGTAATTGCTGACATCTTAGGCAACAAAGAAGTGTGCGTTTACGCTTTATTATAATAGTTTAGATTATCATGCGTAGTTAAAAAGGTCACTTACCAATTATTCAAATAAGTCTCTAATCCTTTATGAAACAGTTCTTCAGTTATCGTATGGTTTAACATTCGTATCAAATTCGCGCCTTTCATGTATGAAATTTCATCGAACTTCTGCGATATTTCCGAAGCATCCGTCACTTTCCGGGACACGGGCGAAGTGTTCTTTAAAGCGTCAGATTTTAACAGATTCATTTTATCCTGAGTGAATGATTCGAACATATTCCATTCCGGTTCAATCTATGAGAACGAATGAAATCAACAATGAATAACGCAATCAAGTTTTCATTAACGAAACATGTTTATACACATAAATTAAATTAAAACACGCACACATATCAAAGGTAAGTTCGCGGAAATTCACGGTGTTCCATTTTCGAAATTATTTTGTTTTAAACGAGACAAACTCCGCGTCTTACCAACCAATTAGATAGCAGCAAATTGCACTAACCAAAGGATTATAATAAAAAGCAATAAACCGTGTACTATTGACCGAAGTATTTTATACAGACACGCTTAAAACCTGCATCTTATTAACAATAACCAATGTTATTGTTTCTAGTCGTCACAATATAAATAATAATCAAGCGACTGTAAATTTTAAAATAAGCCACCGCGAGTTTTCCCGACTGTAAAGTATACTAAATAGATCGGATATTTCTCGAAAATTTAAAAAAAAATCTCTTCGAAACAAAACACGATCATCGCGAAATTAAGATTAAACATACATTAACAGTTCTAGTGTTTAAAATAGTAAAAAACTTACATGATCAACTCCGACATATTCAATATAAGTAGCGAATCCTTCATTAAGCCATAAGTCCGTCCACCACCTCATTGTTACCAAGTTCCCGAACCATTGATGGGCTAATTCGTGGGCGACGTCTATGGCAACACTCTGTTTGTCTCTGGGCACGTTCTCGTCTTTATCAAATAGGAGTGTTGTTTCTCTAAAAATAAAACCACACATCAAAAAGGTAACCAAAAAATAACAATTGTCAATAATACATTTTTTGAATCGAAAAGTCTTTAGTACATTTATACAATCAAAAATGAACCTTACCTAAATGTAATTAACCCCCAATTCTCCATAGCACCACTGGAAAAGTCAGGTACCGCTATCAAGTCTAGTTTCTCCAAAGCGTAGGGTAGACCGAAAACATGTTCATAGTATTCTAGAAGTTTCGGCGTTATACTTAAAGCATATTTAGCTTTATGTATGAGTTCAGGTCTTGTCCATATTTTGATGGATTTCGTTATATTGTCCTTACTTGTGTAGTTCGTTTCGAGATAATGAAAATCTGATATTACATACGCAACTAAATATGTGGACATATTTACTGATCTTTCAAAATGTGTCCATTGCCAGCCGGGTTCTTCTTCTCTGTAATAATAATAATTAATATTTAACTAGCTTTTACCCGCGACTTCGTACGCGCGAAAATAAAAAGAGCTTAGAATACAGCCATTGTGTTCTTACAGATATTTATGTCAAACTAGTTTTTGCTCTCGATTTCGTTCCGGAATTAAAAAAAGAAACAAATGTAAATAGCCTATATGTTTCTCCTGACTATCCCTTCCATCTATGCTAAATTTCATCGAGATCTGTACAGTAGTTTACACTACAAACTCAAACAAACATCCATCCATCCAAACTTTTGCACACAATATTAGTAGTAGAGTTGATAATTGCAACACCCTGTATTTATCATTCTCACGTAGGGTCTCCGCAGTATACTGGTATTCAAATCGATCTATCTTTAGTCATGACATTTATCAAGTTATAATAGCAAGTATTATCAAACAAATATATTTCAATTACTAAAATATAATTTTCCCTATACATCAAAGTATGGCAAAACCCAAATATTGTAATTACAACCACATTACTTATCTTCAAAGGGAAAATCCTAGTCTTTTCCCTTTATCATATTTCAATATAGTTTTATTCCAAATTGTATTTCAGGATATTACAATATGTATAATGTTTTTCCACTCTTTGACGTAAATACCCGTTAAATCTTATTTCTTACTAATATTATAAATGCAAAAGTTTAGATGAATGGATGGATGGATGGATGTTTGTTAGAGTTTGTAGCCTAAACGGCTGAACGGATCTCCATGAAATTCGGCACAGATGTAGAGCATACTCAGGAAGAACACATAGGCTACTTTTTATCCTGAAAATAGTTATGGTGCCTGCAAGATGCATTAATTTTGTATTTTAATGTTTACTGGATAATTCTGCAACGGTTCAACACATCTTATTGAAATTTGGAACAGATAAATTACAAAGTCTGGAGTACACATGGGATACGGTTCATTCCAGAAAAATGTCTAATACCACGCGGATGAAGTCGCGAGCAACAGCTAGTATATTATAAATGTGAAAGATTAGATGGATTGGATAGATGTTTGTTAAGCGTTTGTAGCTTCAACGGCTTAACAGATCTTAAAGTTAATTAGCTAAGATGTAGGGAATAGTCTGGAAGAACCAATAGGCTACTTGCTTTTGTTTTAATTCCACGCGAACGGAGTCGCGGGTGAAAGCTAGTCAATTTACAATTATAATTAATGTCTTACATATTTTCCTCTGCGGTTGCTTTCATGTTGGACAAAGCTGTCATATTCGATGGGTGCGATATGCTGATCTCAAACTTTGCTTTAAAAGCGGGCTCATCGAAACAGGGAAATGCCGCCCTTGCTGACGTAGGTTCGAATTGTGTGACACCTAGATTTCTGAAAATAATATAAACACACATTTAGCAAAGAAATGTGACAAAGTTTCAAAATAAAATCCTTGTTTTATTATAGTTTTTACAATTAAACAGTACAAAAGCATGTACTCTTTAGTCCATTATTTGTATTTGAACCAAATTGCAATACCTTTGTTATGCATAATTTAAAAAATAAAAAGTGAACTTTGTATTTGCTTCTATACCCTTGAGTTAATCTTTTTTTTTACTCTTTATGATATACTAAAGTAAAGTAAGTAATTGAATATTAATACAACTCACCTTATTTCATTTTTATTTGTTCTATATGTACTTTTATAGAAACCTGTCAACGAATTGGATATATTTCCAGCAAATGACAGCTCTAAGATATAATCAATATCTGATTTGAGCGGAGATTCCAGAGTCAGTATTAACCTGTCACCTGTACTCTCCTTAATAGATATTATTTTTATATTACGTACACTGCTGTGAGTCACTTGAGTGTCTATCTGATTATTTAGTGGATTTAACGTTGTATTAAATGTTTCTGACTCATTTTCAGTAATAGTACTCTCTGACACATTTTGCGGTACACTGTTTATTGTTGACGTCTCTGTGATATTAGCCTCACGCCTTTTCCTTGCATTAATTGTTTCTTGTTCATAAATCTGTTCTGTTAGACGAGTATTCTTATTAATACTGAGACCTTTTGAATGTAGGATAATCTCTTTGACTTGTTTATTCGCTCTCAGTGTGATGTAGACATCTCCACTAAATATGGAGTTCTCGATGTCAGTTTTTAATTTCAATCTGTAGAAACTTGGATATACATAAGGCGGTAGTCGTAGGTCGGGTGAAGTTGGATTTGTGTATCCAAAAGTTTCTGTGTCATCCCAGAAATCATGTGGCACATCTTGTGATATCTGAAAAAATAAAAATAAAAAGTTACTAATATACTTGTGAAAGTGTAGATGGATGTTTGTAACAAGGCATCTTGAGGACAGCTAAACTGATCTGGATGAAATTTGGCATAAATGTAGAACACAGTCTGGTAGAAGACATGGTTAAGTTTTTTTTAAATTAAAAGTAAAGGCTAGGCGAGGTAAAAGCTAGTCTTAATATAAAAAACGTAAATCTTAAACCAATAAATTTACACGAAGATTCGTAGAGTTGTCTTTTAAAATTTTAGAACTAATGTGGATAGAATTTTAAAATTGATACTTAAAAAAATAATAATTAGCGAAATAAATTAACGCATAATATTTAAATATTATTAGCACATATTAATAGAGACCACTTATATGTTTACTTAAATGATTTCCTTAATACTCACTATTTCATCACCATAAATTGAAATTATACGAAAAAATAAAATAATACACAGTAAATAACTCATTGTATAAATTATGAACTAAATCACAGATTTGAGGTAAATTCAATTAATTAAAGTAACTTCAACACTATGAAATTCTTTTAAAATATAGGAAAATCGTTACATATTAATTTTAATTCTAATTTAATAAATACAACTAAACGTCTCACTTAAAGACGTTAGATCTCTTTGACATGTTCAACTGTAACTGTCAATTTGACGTCAAACAGATGTTTCTTATCTGACCAAAGAGTATATAACACCAGTTGGCAAAGGTCACGTATTAATAGACCTTTTTTTTCGCAAATTTCCGTTTAATAGATAAATTATGGCAATGGACGACTGATAAAACTGCAATGAACGTAAACTGTGCTTTAGATTGCGAATTAAATTTGATAAAATAGTTCATTAGAATGTCAATACATTTTGTGGCTTCACTGATAGATGTAGGTCTCCCATTAACTTTTAACAAAAACTTTTGACAAGTAGAATTAACGAACAATTTTTTGCTTTATAGCAAAATGAAGTAAGATTATAAATATAAAGATTTTTGGATAAACATACCTTGAAATAAGTTACAAAATAAACAATTACACCGACTATGAAAGAAAGTATAACTGCAAAGACGATAAAAGAAATGCATATGCAAGTTGAAATAAAAATTCCTCCTTTTCTACCATAGTGGATGTCATCAAGGCCTTGAGTTTCACACGCCAGGAATTGCTGGCGACTTGTTGATAAAGCCATGTCCTTTACATATACTGAAACAAACAATAGTACATTTATTTGTAGTACTAAAATACATTCATGAAATACATAGTTATTTAACATTATGTTAAAAATCCACAACAAAAACTAACGTAACTCAGAAATCCGATATTCTTAGGCAATGTATAATAAAATGTAATTTCACAATATACGCTAAATTATTATAATTGACTGATTATGCGTTAAAAAAAATTAACTTAAAGCGAACCCTCGAGGTGAAACTCACCAAAGCCTATTAGCGTTAAGTAATAAACAACTAATGAATATTTTTCTTTCCAAAACATTCCAAAAGCATAATGGTTTTTATTCCGCATTTGCCGATGCGTATAATTAATTTTGAGACCACAATGCACACATCGTGGTCGTCATCGATTATTATTACGACCACTGTTTAGTAATGTTGTAAGGACCATTTTTGTATGTCGTCAAATAAAGGCAGGGTCCTGTAACAGTTGCTTGTGTGCCTTCTATACTATCGACATAAACCTTGTCTAATCGTGTGCGGTGTGGCGAATTGTATGCGGGCACCTGCGATAACGTTTTGCTACCGAACTACGGTTTTATGATTCAATTGAAATATTGCAAAATATACGTTGAAGAATATATGCGTTGCGTACATACACGTGTCTATGGTCATCGTTTATAAGTATTTCCTGTTTTTATAGCCTATTCTTTCATAAATTGCCAATCTATTCGACCAATAGTTATCAACTAGTCATCGGTTACACACCACACTGTATGAAAGTAAATTCATATCAGATAAACCGATATTATGAATTAACTAACAATACTCTATACCGTTTTTCAAACTATAGAGAATTGGCTGTGGATTTCACGTCGCGAAAAACAAGACAAAAAAATCGTTTAACTATTTCAGTTTTCGTCAGAGATGAGCGGGACGGTAATCGTTTCAGTTCAGTAGTGGTCTACAACTTTTTTTTTTATTACAATCGGGATTACAAAAAACATTTTGAAAATGGAACGCCATATAGCTAACAACTAAAGTGTTCTAAATACGGGAACACAAGCATTCAAGGTCAAATTATGTTGAAATTGAATGAATTCTATACATATACAACGGTAAACGTACATATAAGGATTGCATTGTTTGCTGTTGGGATTAGAATGAAGAACATGCAATAATCATAATGTTTCAAATACACTTTATTTTATGAACAAATGCAAGAATATGTAGGATTTTTTAATATTGTATGTGGTAAAGAAAATAATTGAAACAATCATCGTCACATAAAAGGTCTCCAAAATATATTAAAAGTGAAAAAAAAACAAAAAGTATGAATGACTTTCAGAATTGACTAATTGACCTTCAATTTAACTAATATCAAATTGTAAGATAATTATTTACATTCTCGTAGATTGAAGTAATGTAATTAATTTAAAATTTAGAACGCAAAAAGTTAAGATAAGACCAAATCTGTGCGTAATCAATTCGTTATACTACCAATAATTTTACATTGTGTTTTAAAATAAATAATAAGATGGCGCATATGTGTGCTATTATTTTGTATTTCCGTCTATGTTAATTTTCCGATAACAATAAGGAAGACTCTTAGTGCCCACTTTCTGAGTCCGAGTCTTTATGCGTGCCACAGTTCTGTAGTAGATAAGGATCCTAGTTACTCCCAAAGTTTAATAAAAAAGGGGCGCAGAAGTACATAATTGCGTATAACGGGCACTGGCTATAGACCCTCCGAAGCTTCCTTGGTTACCAAGGGGTCTAATCGAACGGTTTAGATGTATCCCATCAGAGTTCAAAAATCGCTAATGCTCTATTTAGTAACAAAGCGATACTTTAGACATAAAGTAACGATAGCAAAAGTGTTGCACCAGTTTTCTTATCAACTAGGTGAACATTATTTTTTTGGCGTTGAGTGTTAAAACACTTTGAAATAGGTATTCGTGACTTACAACATGTTAACAACCGGAAATATGGAATTTGGGATGGAAATGGAATTTTTCCTCATATGACATCGTAGAGGAATGTGACGAAATATTGTACCATATTTTATACGTTATGAGTTATATAGTTTGTTTGGAAAAACTCATGATCAAGCAAAAAAATTAAATAGTGATTAATACGCGATTTTATGTGATTGAAAAATAAAAAAAGAGCCAAATTTTAACTACTCTTTTTTACTCCTTTAGTTGGAAATAGTGTTGCGACAACATCCGCCGCACATCGTTTTTTCTTACTGTTTTTTCGATACATTAACTAGTAAAAATGAGCAAACCAAAAAATACACGATGACGTCACGGTGGGGCTTATAACTGAACACAGCAAGGAATTGAAATCATCAATTGATTGTTGAGTGTTCCATCTCACGTACGCTTACTCTATGACGTCTTTATACGTCATAATTTGCGGTCTTCCCGCCTTTTTTTATCTCTCCGAGCAATATTTCCGCAATTGTAATCCTTTACTTTTTGTAATCCAACATTCAAAACTGTAACTAAATCCTTAGAAATAAGGAATAAAATTGCTTGGAAGGTTATTGCAAATCATACGTTTTACATCATATAGTAAGCGACTCCAGGAAAATGTTACGTAAACTTTTGTTTATATTTGCGGTCCATGCCCCCACATGAATCATTAATTATAATAAATGCAAACTTTTAACGTAATTAAATAATTATGAAAGACTAGCTGTAGCTCGCATCTTAGTCTGGAATTAAAATTGTAATAAATATAGCCTACGTAACTCAGTGATAACGTGGCTATTTATTGGAGAAAATAAAATTTGAAATGGGCAAAGTAATTTTTAAGTTATTTCAATAAATATAAAAAAAAACTTTCCTTTTTCAATATAGATTAGAGCAGAGTAAACAACATTAAAAACCTCTATGACACTATCCGCCGTAAACACAAAAATCTTTTATTATCTATGGTCCAAGTCAAAAACAATAGTTAAAAATATCACTAGTTTATGGAATTGTGCGTTAATAGTTAATATCTAACCACATATCTTTTTAAACAAATAAACGATAGTTATATAAACCGGATGTTATTGCCAACATTCTTAATTTATGGTTTGTTTGATCTTGAGTTGCCTTTGTACTACACAGATGCTAAATGCAAACTACTTCAAGCTTTTGATGATAGATTAGCGGTAAAAAATATTACATAAATAAATGCTATTTCAAGTCTCAAGTAAATATCGCAGTTTACAGTTATGAATAACAATAGAAATTAAATTTATATCGAGGTTTAATATGTCTGTACTAATATTATATAGAGAAAATCGTATTTTTGTATGTATTGAAATAGCTCAAAAACTCTTAGGCAGATAACTAAAAAGCTACGTTATCAGTGAGTATGTAGGCTATGTTTTTTAAATGATTTTTTAATTTCGCGCGGACGAAGTCGCGAGAAACAGCTAACATATAAAATGTATTCTATTCTATTCCTTGTTTATGGCTCTCCTTCGGCGGATTGGGTCAGTGTCATTATAAAATGTAACATATAGCTTTTGTTCCTCAGTTATCGTTGATAATGTAGTTTTCAAATTTTTTAATTTGTAGAAAAATTAAAAAAAAATCAAATCTCTCCATAATATTAGTATAGAAATTATAATATAAAAATACGAGCCGTGAATATTGTCATACTCAATGAGAAAACCAGAACAAACTTTCACTATCGGAAACCCGTCATTGACGTCATAGGAACTTTATTATATTTACAAATTGCATGGAATCGATCAACCCAATGGGAAACACCTCTGATAATACGATTTGTACGCGTAGTCTTCCGCTTTTTGTACTGAAATATTAGCTAGCTAGCTAGCTGTCGCTCGCGGCTTCGCCCTACGTGAAAATACAATATATGCTACTGTCTATGTTACTCAGGGATAACATTAATTAATGGTAAAAGAATTTTTGAAATCAGCGCCGTACTTTTTGAATTATTTCAATACATGCAAAAATACAATTCTTTTTATAATATTAGTATCGATTAGATATATGGTAGTTTTAACAAAGTAAATTAAAAGGTAGTGTTAGTTACTATTGCTTTACAAATTAAGGTAAAAATAAGGTTAAAATAATTTATTGAGGTAAAAACCACAATACCAAGTTTTTTACTATAATTTGCGTACACTATTTTAGGTTAGTTTTTCAAATTATGTAAAATATACGAATGTAATTGAGGAGAAATATATATCTGTAAATTCCACGTATGTCATAGTTAATAATATACACAATGTTCCTAATTTGAGTTATTTCAATATTCTAAAACAAATCAAATTGCGCAACCGATTTCATTATTTTTTTGACCTCACGTCATCATGTATTGAATTACTTAGTTTTTGTGTGTTTTTTAACAAAAAGAGTATGTTCGCAACACTGACCTCTATAAATGGATATTTTATATCTATTTCGTTTTCTCCATTTTAGTGTTGATGGTAGCGATAAATAGTTTATGAACTAATAATAATGGTAAACTTACGGTCTATCAAAAGACGCGTTTAAGTTGGATCGAAAAAAAACTGTCGTTGTCAAACTGAAGCCTATCTATTTACCATATGTATATGGAGCGCAGTGTTAGAGAGTATTTATTAACAAAAAGTAAAATTTTATTTTTAAAAGTATTAGAACCAATAAAAAAATGTTTAATATTTTGTACGTCTTTTTTTTATCATTTGGTAACTTTATCAATAAAATTCTAGCATTATATTCATACTAGATGTCTTAGGTTACTCAAATTCTGCGATTAGTTGGCCTGACTCATAGGAATGTTAGGAATGATTTATAAATATCAGGCGCCGACTGGATAGAATCGATGGTAAAAAAAAATATTAACATAACAGTTACGCTTTCAAAACCGTAACGAATATTCAATACTTCAATAGTTCATAGAACTAATAATGTAAACTGTGGATCGAGGTCAAACATCTAAAAACTTTCAATAGACTTTTTAAAGTAAATATTTGGTACGCGAGATGTTCAGCATTCATTTTTTTTTTCAAATAAATCTTTCAACATAATTTCAATACAAATACATTTTCATATCAATACTATACGAAAATTCAATCGACATTTACTTTAGAGCTATTAATAATATAAATACCACTTTATTTTTTGTTTATTTTTATTTAAATAAGTATAATATTAGTATTTATAGTCATAACCAACTAACTAAGTATACCTCTCCACCGAGGGGCTCGGAGCCAACCCTATGTTAGGGGTGGTTACTAGATTATCCCACCAACGGTTCCCGCCTTGTCGTGGCGGTGAGGTGAGGCTCTAGTAGCCGTGGTACGTAAAGTAATCCGACCACGGTAAAGCTAAGAGGAACCATGCCGGCTTAGCGGGTCAGGTCACGCCGGTTGCCCAGCCGGCTGGCCTATCCCGCGACGCCAATCTCATGGGATGGTCGCGCTCTGGTCGCCCACCATACTTAGTTACTAGACCATACTCAACCACGCTGGCCAAGTCCGGGTTGGTTGACTTCACACATATCTTTCAATTTCTTCTCACGATGTTTTCCTTCACCGTAAGAACGTTGGGCAAATTATGTGCATATGAAATTCGAAAAATCGAAAATCACATTTGTACAGCGGGATTCGAACCCAAGACCTGTAGATTACAAGTCAAGTGTTTAAACCACTGAGCCACCGACGCTTCTATTTATAGTAGTAAAAATAAAAAGGAAACTAAGGAATGAATTGGAAGATAACAAAAGGCAAAAGCGTTGAAATCAATCAAAGTCAATATTACATTAAAAACCACATTAAGAAAGTGGTACATGTTACTCATCTTTAATTTAAAGAATTCGGATCAAGGTTTATACGATCTGAATTTTGACTTCGCAAACTTATCTTTATAATAAGAACTGTATTTCATTTTAAAAATTATAACATGTGAAATACTGTAATTATACATTTTAGCAATAATTTAAACGTATGAATGGGGCCAGGTATCTTAAAACGGCTGCATAAATCTGGATAGAATTTAGCACACAGATAAGTTACGGTCTGTAACAGTTCATCAGCTTTCTATCCAGGAAAAATATCCGAGGAATTTTGTTTTCCACGCCAAATTCGAGAGCAACATCTAATATCAGTAATCATAATATCGTAGATGACTATTTGTTATTATCGTATGTAATAAAAATCGAATAATTAATGCGAATACAATTGATTACCTACATTTCGTCATCGTTGATTCATTGTACAAACTGCATCATGATTGTGCGTTGATTTTCAACGATAAATTCGCTAGATTTGAATTTAGAACCCCGTGTTATTTTACGGATTCATATTTTACGTTTGCTCTGAATGCGTTACTCGTTTGTTTTTTTAATACTTTTTATTAATTGTTTTACAATTGGAAACCGTTTTGACATATTTTTTTACGCTGTACCAATTAGTAATGTTGGCCATTGTTTAAAATATAACTGACTGGCCATTGCTCGCGACTTCGCCTGCTTGAAATTAAAAAAATAATAAAACACATAGACTTTATTCACTGATAACGTAGCTTTTAATGGTGATAGAATTTTTGAAATCTGTACTGTAGTTTTTGAGTTATTTCAATACATACAAAAATTCAAAAATACAAATCTTTCCTCTTTATTACATTAGTATTATTACATAGATATTGATGTGTGGTAATTAATTTAAATCCTTTGTAGTAGATTTTAGTTGGAAATTTAGCGAACATTGGACGATTTTCGTTTAATATTCATAAAATCGTTGCATCACTGCGTAGGTAGTTGAAAAATTGCTCCGATCTTATTGAACTCAATTGTAATCGTTGGCAAGAATTAAAAATGTACATAAAGATGATTAAATTTAAACATCCAATGATCAAAGCGTTGCTTTCGATTAACCAGTTTTCTTTTCATTTACATTTACTATTTACACAAGTGTAATTTTAGCAATGGTTTTTGAAACTTTGAGATTATGTTAAGGCTTTTGTTTATTACTTTATAGTTATTAAAATTATATATTTTTATCTAAATATCAATACGCATTCTTATTTACTTTTTATACCAAAAACGTATTATGTTTGTTATCAGGAATAATTATAATAAATTACTTTATTAAATACCAATTTAAATATCAAGAGAACGTGTTAATTGGTTTATTTTATCCTTTAAAGAATTAAATTATTTTAATTGTTATGCAGTAATGAATTGAAAAGTAAAAAAACCATAACATAACGCTGCATGTAAATATGAAGAATTATTTCAAATTACGAATTAAAAAAAAATATATGTAAAATTGACTCAGACTCACAAATTGTATTAATAACGAGCACAATCTGTAATTGTATCACATTTCTTGTACATTCCCAATAAAACAGATGTTTTTTACAGATAAAAAATTAACAAAAAATTTACCGTTCGTTAGATGGCAGCTGTAAATCCAAGCGGCAGATTGAGCACATTCACCATATACTGAAGTTTAAGCGACAGAAAAAAATAAAAAAGCGAGGGAAAACGTTTCGTAATATGTCATGAGCGACTCGCGCAATGCCGGTAAATGACGGTAAATTCACTTCGCTGTGGGCGTTATTTTACGTATTAACAACCAGTGGTATTGAACTACAACGCACCTTGTAATGTTTCAGAATTCGAGTGTATTAAGGAGGTAGGCAGATCAATTTATAATGGTCATTTTATGGTATGAAGTGGGTTGTTGCTTTTGCAATGACCTTGTTGATAATCTATGCCTGCATTATTATTATTTTTCTTATAGGTCTTTATTTCTTTTGTCCGTTCTTATGTGTAGTTATTTGTGTGACATACAAGAAATGAGATGTGGATTAAATTTAGCATTTTTAAAATTATACTTCCATCTTGGTACTGCTTTTTTCATGTTTTAAATCCTTTCAAAGACAATCTTCTCATTATTTCGAAACATGTTTTACTTTACTTCCACATCAGTAGCCATCTTGAATCAGTGCCCGTGAAATCATTGAATGAGTTCTCTATATCCGTATCTGGTTTTCGTTTATATCAGTACTAGCGTTCGACCGCGAGTCCGTCCGCGTGGAGATGAAAAAACTAAAATGTAGTCTATGTGTTAGCCTCTACATCTATGGGATGTTTCGTCGAGATCCCTTTAGCAGTTTAGGCTACAAATTCTAATAAACAACCATCCATTTGACCATTCGCATTTACAAATTAGCTAGATTATTGTATTTCTATTTTTTCACAAAGTACGTCACTATACCTGCTACTTAAATCCATCAGTTTTTTTAATATCCGCCAAAATCGAATCGTATCGGCTAGCGGCGCGCTTGGAGGTATATAAATATAACGTTCCTAGAAATCTATCGGCACGTCTTTGATCATCGAATGTACAGTCGGGAGAAACCGCGGTGTTCAATTTTCAAATAACCAATCAGGTAGCAGTACGTTGCGGAAACGAGGGGGTAATAATAAAAATATTTAGCCGCGTACCAATTCCGACTTTTTGGTACAAATATATTTAAAATCTAATTCCTATTGTTATTAATCTGTGTCGTCTAAATATGTACAAGACATTCAAGAGTGTAGCTTTTAGGGTTGAACACTGCCAAATTACCTGACTGTACATAAGTGTTGCTAGTATACTATTATCTGTGCTTTGTATATACACATTAGGTACCTAGAACTGTAATTAAGCATTTTTCACGGTACACCAGTAATGACAGTAATATTTATATGGATGTTATAACTAAATGATCGAATACATTGTTTTTGTAAAATCTATATGAATAAAATGATAGCTTTGATATGATTATGTATTCCATTGAAGTATTTGAGCGAGAATGGTTCCTACTATCTTATACTAATATTATAAATGCGAAAGTTGCAGATGGATGGATGGATGGATGGATAGATGGATGGATGGATGGATGTTTGTTATCGTTTGTAGCCTAAACGGCTGAACGGATCTCTATGAAATTTGCCACAGGTTTAGAGCATAGTCTGGAAGAACACATAGGCTACTTTTTATCCCGGGAATAGTTACGGTTCCCGTGGGATTCATTAATTTAGTTTTTTTATGTTTACTTGATCATTCTGCAACGGTTCAACATAACGTATTGAAATTTGGCACAGATATAAAACAAAGTCTGGAGTACACATGGGATAAGCTTCATCCCCGAGAAATGTCCGGTTCCCGAGGGATACGAAACTTTTTGTAATTCATATAGTTTGTATGCTTTCTAATACCACGCGGACGAAGTCGCGGGCAACAGCTCGTTGTTTATAAGTATCTCCAGCAAGAGCGGATCTAGCTTTGAAAATCGTATGAAAAACCTGGTAGGAAGGAGTTTCTAACGATGTTCTTCCCTTTAGAAATATTACTCTTCCTTAGTTATGCCATGTTCGGAATTATTTACAAGAAATGAGTTAATGAGGACGAATGAAGTCATGTAACTTAAGACGTCCTTTTTTACTATAATGATCCTCATTTCTTTATTAAATCTTATTTCCAGGATGAAATGTACACAATACCTGGAATCTGTGTCATACTAGCTTTCCATCGCGACTCCGTCCGAGTGAAAAAAAACGAAAGTAAGTGGCCTATATGTTCTTCCAGATTATCCTCTACATGTTTGTTAAATTTTAACAATATCTCTTCAGTCGTTTAGGCTACAAACAATCATCCATCCATCCATCTAAACTTTCGCATTTATAATATTAGTAAGATTAGTATTGTATTTTGTACATGCTGAAAATAAACTAAAAGCCATAAACGTCTGCTTGTTAAAAAAAAAGTAAAGAGCAATGTAAAAACATGTCGATATATCTTATCTTTTGATATATTGTTTGTCCTTTGATTTATTGTGATGCCACAGGATTTGCCCAGTGGTATTGAGATAAATATTTACAGATAATTGTATTATGTTGCGATTTTTCTATTTTTAAAGTACACTTTAACTTACGCCCGTAACCCATAGGGGTATGTAGACCTCGGGAGTTTATTTCACTCGTTCCTAGTAGACTAGTTTCTCTTTTTCCACGGTCGGTTAGTTTCCGATGCGTTTAAGCTTGATGCTACCCTTGTTTAGGATTTAAATTTAATAAATTGCATAGTCAATATTATTATAAAATTACTCTAAAAGTCTACAATATTATGCTAGTATGCCATGCGTTTCGCCACGACTCCGTCCACGTGGTATTAAAAAAACCAAAACCCGTAGCCTATATGTTCTTCCAGACTATTCTCTACATCTTTGCCAAATTTCTTTGAGATCCTTTCAGCTGTTTAGGCTACAAACTCTAACAAACATCCATCCATCCATACAAACTTTCACATTTATAATATTAGTATGATTTACTAAATACCGCTACAATGTATCATAATATATTTTAAAGACAATCTTTTATTAAACGATTGGTCACTTTAATCAAATGACAATGGTTATTTTAAATAATACTAAAACCGGAACGGACAGACGAGGCCTTTCCTGTATTAGTCAACGATGTAGAATTAGGGCTGTCAACTTATAAAAGCTTGAGCAAAAAAACTTTAAAAAAAAGCGATCAGACTTGATAACCGTTGAATCCTTGCCGGACAAATAAAAGCCAACATCGTCCCTTAATCTCGTATTCCGATTTTTATATATAACAACAATCACACTTCAGATATCAAGGTCACATTCGTAGCAGTATAGAGAGCTGGAAAGAATATAACCAAATCTTCAGGTGGCAACCCTATGTATAACTAGCTCAGATTGGGATTTAAGACAATCATTGACGTCACGGCGCCACTGTTCGAAGAAAAAGTAATTTAAAGACTGTGGAGGCTGATGTGAAGAAGTTATTCTGGGAATTTGGGAAAAGCGTGAAGTCCCGTGAACGAACTTCGATGGAGATATGGTTATACCCAAGACTTGTGAGGTTTTGTTGATTTACCTGTGCAAAGAAATCCATATTTATACTAGTACAAAGGTTTAAATTTTCGTCACAACAATAATAAACTAAATAAACTAGAATTAATAATTATTTGCACAGTAATGTCTCTATAATATTGGATTTCTTTCAAAACATCAAATACATTATCTAAATTCTGCATAAAAATAGAAAAAAATCGATTAATAAAAGTGACCTTCGATATTAACATCAAATAAGAAAAATCAATTATCTCGCATTCATTTTTACAGTGATGGAGCCAATTTAAAAATATATCCTGTTCGAATAGCACCTAAAATAGTGAAGAGGCAAGTCAACGGTCAGCAATGTTTGCTCTTGCCGTCCGGCAGTGGGTCATCGTGTTTGCACTGGTTACGGTGATTTACACCATCGCTAGTTAACGCACATTATTGCCTTGTTAGACACTGATTACGTTCAATGTTTGCTTTGACTTCACCGCTTGATGTGCATACCAAAAACTTCGTGGTATTCTAACCTTGCAAATAAACTGCCAAACTGAACCAACGTTTATGTAGAAATGTAAAACAATAAAATAAAGCCTGTTTACTATTAGTGAAACAATGTTTTTCAAGCAAACTAAAACAAATAGAAGACACTGTAAGTTAAAGAAAAGCGTAGATATGGACGAGAAATACTCCTCGTCTTATCAAGACTAGACGAGAAAATGTCAAAGTTAAGAGTAAATTTTCTAGTAATAGAAGAGTGAAAAATATTAAATAATGAACAATCAATATCTAATACTAATATGGAACTAAGACTGTTGAATCTCTTACTAATATTATAAATGCGAAAGTTTAGATGGATGGATGTTTGTTAGAGTTTGTAGCCTAAAGGGCTGAACGGATTTCGATGAAATTTGGCAAAGATATAGAGGATAATCTGGATAAACACATAGGCTACTCATTTTTATTTTTTTAATATCACGCAGACGAAGTCGCGGGAGAAAGCTAGTGATAACTAAATTTAATAAGTAACGTTTAAGGTACAATTGACATATGTAAAAGCAGAAAGAATCACGACGTTAACATATACATTGTAGAATAGAAAATGTTTAGTGCGTTTCGTATTGTGCGTGAGAGGATATGGAGACCCAATTACGTGGCGTTGATCGTCCCCTTATAAGCCTAAGGGTCTACAAAGATTCATACAGACTGTCGTTATTTTCCATTTTTGGTAGTCTGGTATTTTTCTAATGTAATTAACCGTAGCTTTTTAAATGATTTTGATTGATTCAAAATGCCAAATAAGTAAATGACTGTTTTTTCAAAAATTATTTAATATTGAACGTAATAAATTTGAATTAATTCAGTCATTGTGATACCCACGGGAGTCGTCAGAGGGACGGTGTTATACTAAGCAGTATAAAAAAAACCAAGCCTAGACTAGCGACTACCGTGGTGATAGCAATGACAGCAGAGTTTAAAGTAGTATATTTCTAATAGGAGACAATGGAAATAATCAAAGGATACCTTTCGAGGATTTCTTCAACATTGAAAATATATCATGTGTAATTAATCAACACTATAAGAATGCAAATTAGATTAGTAACTTCACAACAACTGGTTGGTTGACAATCACGGCATGTCGTCAGTGCAAACGAGCTATATCCTGGTGGCAATTGGCTCGAATTGAGCGGGCGCGAGCAAACAACGCCAGTGGTAGATTGCCCATTCCGACCTGTCTTCAACCAGTGAGTACACCGCATTTGCATGTTCATTTACTAATCCTAAGTAAATGTTAAAAATATATGCTTAATTTATTTCGACAAGCTTCTTTTGTTTGTAAATTCTTTTGCCGTTGTTTTAAAGAGGTTAATTTAGTTTTTTCTGGTAAAACTCTGCATGTTGACAATACTTCATACTTTTATAAGTATTTTTGGAATATAGCATATATAATTAATTTTGACGTTGCCAATGCGAATAATATTGTGAACTTAACATCTACCTTGCTTTGTCAAACCTATTTTATGTTTCAGTTTTACAAAAACTAGTTAAAGGCATCAAATTAAGGCTTTTAGTTAACTTTAGATAATTTAAAGCTATATTTAGATGTTTGAATGTAAGGATACTCTTGATTTTTTTTTATAATATAAGGTGGCAAACGAACAAGCGGCCACCTGAATCCACCGAAATGGAAAGCGACCGCTGCCCATAAACATCCGCAATTGCAGATGCGTTGCCTACCCTTAATTGAAGGAGGAGGAGACGCACATAAAGAGGACATTTCCCCTTCCAATGCATCTCCTCCATCGTCAAATCCACTTTTCCTTCCCATCCTTTCCTCTTAAGAAAATGGTAGAAAGGGAAAGGGACTAAAATTAGGCCTCCGGCACCACACTCATCAACGAAATGCGGAATTGCTTCCACTTCACGCCTGTTTTCTGTGTGGTCGTGGTATACACCGGGCGAGTCGGCCCATTCGTGCGGAGATGTTAAAGCGGGTTCTACCACTGACTTGATGCTAGGTGTCTGCCACGAAAACAATTGTATGATTAACATTATGACATTTTGTGGGTTAGGCGCACGCGCATATCTGAAGACCGTTGTCAGATTGGCTCAGATCCAAGAATATACTAAACCAATGCAGATATGCACCCTTTGCTTCTCTTTACGTCTTGTGTAAATCTCATAGTGTATTTAACTTATACTAAAGCGAGCCGCTATTTATTGTAGATGGTACTAAATGTTTTACAGAGTTGAAGACAGTTACCCAACATGTTGGGGTGTGTGTACATACTCGCATTGTGTGTGCTCGCAACTAGCACCTCGCAGCCGGATGAGGTCAGTTATCCAATCACAGTAGTGCGATTCATTTTATTAGCTACCGACCCATTTGGAGGAATGAAAACATGATAGACAATTTAAATCGTATACAAGATAACTTAACTTTAAGTCTTTAATGAAAGGTACAGTCGAGGAAATACGCGGTGTATCACTTAAAGAAATATTATCTTATTCCTCGCAACGAGACACACTCCGCCTCTTACAGATAACCAATTAAGCAGACAGTGAGTTGCGCAAATAAAGGGATAATAATAAACAGCAATTAGCAGTATTCTATTCAACGACCACTTTTCTTACAAGCACATTTAAAATTTACATATTATTGGATATTTTTCCCCGTCGTCGTTTGAATGCGTAAAAAAAGTTTAAACAATTGCGTCTTTTAAGGTGGGACACTTACAGATTCCCCGACTGTACCTTTTACTTTCCATAATAAATAAAAAAAAACAATGACGCTCAATGGCGTCCCACTAGAGAGTACTAATCGAATAACACCCTAAGTGTTCAACTTTACTGTATTGAGTAAAAAAAAAATATCTTTAAAGGTCGCCCCACACATAATCAAGACTAGAAGCATTGACCTAAGCAATGCTCATAGCCTGGCGATGGAGTCTCGACTTGAGAAGAGTGTAATGCCCACTGGTTACAACCTGAGCTTGGAGCCGCGTATAGAAGATGCGGTATACGATGGTTATGTGGCCATCAACCTCACATGGGCGTCAGATACTGATGAGATTACGCTCCACGTCTCTCCTGAATTGGAAATCATTAATACAACAGTCAAAGTATGGCTTGAGAACTCGTAAGTACTACTGTAACCATAGATTATTTCTAGCAGAATTTCTGTATGTTCTAGAACAAAAATTTATTAGTTAAGATGATAGGTTGTATTTGTGTTAGAAGTGAAATAACTCCAAAATTTACAATTTTCACACTTGACACGCACTTGACTTGAAATCTACAGGTCTTGGGTTTGAATCACACTATGTACCAATGTGATTTTCGATTTTTCTAATTTTCATATGTACATAAATTACCCGACGTTCTTACGGAGAAGGAAAACATCGTGTTACAACCAACCCGCAATTGGCCAGCGTGGTTGACTATGACCTAGTCACCCCTTACTTAGGGTAGGCTCCGAGCCCCTCGGTGGGGACGTCTAGTGAGCTGGTGATGATGATAATGATGAAATAGTTACATCATCGTTTCTCATATCAATTTTTTTAAAACAAATTTTGTGTATCAACTGTTTCGAACTGTGTTTGAAATTCATTTTTAGTAAGGAACCCCAAGAGCTTCGTATAAAAGACGTGGATCCAGACGCAAAAAAGTCAACGATATTGTTCCAAGTCGATAGAATGATCTCGAAAAATACCAAGGGAGTTATTGAATTGACATTTAAAGGCAAAATGGAAACAACAAGCAGTGAGGGTCTCTTTAAAACTACTTACAAGACGGAAAAAGATCGAGAGAGGTAATAATTTTTAATTATTCTGCTTCGAAAAATTACGATTCGATATAATTATTAGGTATATTAACTTTTATTTTGTGTATGATTTTCTAGTAAATAAATAAATTCTTATGTTTAAAATCAGATGTCAGTATTTTTAAATTTTTAAAATAAGTTTAATAGTATATTTTAAAATCGTCATTACCTCATATATAAAGAAAATTATCGATTTCAATGTTTCTATTTTCAATACATTGTAAAACATCAGATTTCACATTGCAACAGTTGCGGAAATGTAAATTTGCTATTAAATATTGGATGGCGCTATTTGTACTTTAAAAGGCGGTATCGCGTAGACTTGCTGATATAGGGTTACTGCGGGAAGCACGGTACTTGCATTAGGCGGTTCGAATGCCTATACAAATTCTTTAAAAAGTTTGCTGTAAAGATTGCAAATTATTTTATATTTATACACATATCCCGAAAGGCTTTTTATTTATTTTATTCATATTTAAACCATGGGTTTGTTCGTTACACTACCCTTTTTTGTGGAACAAAGTTTTTGCAACAGACTGTATAATGACTGCGATTTTTTCTATAATAGTAAATAGCTTAGGTGACATTTCTACAGATATTAACTAAGAGAGAGCCCGAGGAAAAATAAAATTTGAATTCTAAAATTTTCATAACATACCTTACTAATATTATCAATGCGAAAATTTAGATAGATGGATGGATGGATGGATGGATGTTTGGTAAAGTTTGTAGTCTAAACTGCTGAACGGATCTCGATGAAATTTGGCATAGGCGTAGAGGATAGTCTGGAAGAAGAAATAGGCTAATTACTTTTATTTGTTTTTTTTTAATTACACGTCAATAAAGTCGCAGGCGAAAGCTAGTAGTACATATTTGTAAAAATAAAAGAACACGAGGCCTTGTTATTGCATCAATTACTTCGATTTATCTATTAACCAAATAATTAAATTGCTTTTCTTTTTTGTTGTAGTGTGGTAGTTGCAACACAGCTGCGGCCGAATAATGCACGGCGCGTGTTCCCCTGCTTTGATGAGCCCGAGTTTAAAGCGCCTTTTGATGTCAGCGTGGTACGGCCTTGCAAGATGACAGCGCTCAGTAACATGGAGTCGGATAGAGTTGAGAATATGTTAGTATACTATTGAATATTATAACGCTGATAGTCGGATTATATTAATTAACGAATTTAAGATAAGCAGCAAAGAAAAAAATATATAGAAGGATAATTCACACTTCATTGAAAACATTTTTCACATGATGCTCACTAACTCCATCTATTGTTTAGGTCGTTATGTCAATGTTTTTATGACACTGTTTAGTTTATTTTATAACAATAGATGGAGCTTATTATTATTTTGTAAAATGTTTTATAAATTGTCAATACAAGGTGTATTAAAAGCCATCTCGAGTCCTGAAAAGGAGATACCGGTGAAAAAATGTTTTTCACTATGTCTGGTCTATATATTTCTTATATGTCTTTGATGAGCAGTATTATATTTGTTAAATGTTTTACAATATGCTACAATATTACAACAATTTATTGGCAGTTATTTATTTGTGTTAGAAACACCTAATTTATTTAAACAATAAAGTCCCTTTCTCTTTACCACCCTTTTCTTATAAGGAGAAGTTGGGAAGAGGAAGTGGATTTGACGGTGGAGGACATGCATAGGAAGAGGAAATTAATTTATGTGCGTCTCCTCCTCCGTCGTATAAGGGTAGGCAACGCATCTGCAATTGCGGATGTCTATGGGCAGCGGTCGCTTCGCCATTTTGGCGGTTTCAGGTGGTCGCTTGCTCGTTTGCCACCTAATGTTATAAAAAAAAACAAGCTTTCGCCCGCGACTCCGTCCGCGTGGAATTAAAAAATACAAAAGTGACTAGACTATGTGTTCTTCCAGACTATCCTCTACATCTATACCAAATTTTATGAAAATCCGTTCAGCTGTTTAAGCTAGAAACTCTAGCAAACATCCATCCATCTAAACTTTCGTATTTATAATATTAGTATGAAATATGATTGTGTAGCAATGCATCTGTAGTTCTGATATAGTGGATATCTACGAGCGTTGATAACCTTGTTCTTTCTCTTAGAATAAAGTTTCTATGTTAGTAATAATTGCATCTTCTAGCCCGGATGAGCCGAACGCTGTCCGCGAGTTCTTCAAGCGTTCACCGCCGATGTCTACATTTACTCTCGGCCTCGTCATTGCAGACATCGTTGAACTCTGTAATACCACTAATTTTGACGACGGCTCATCTAATTTTAGTAAGTTTTATCATAAAAAACTTTAATGTTCTATAAGAAATGTTTTCAGTGTCTCCTACTTTTGATAACTCTTTAGCTAACATTTTAATATAATAATAATAAACTTTATTTCGAGCTACACTTCATTGCTCATTCTCTTTTTGTGTATTCAATTTTTCTAATAAATCTTAACTGTGTCTACTTATTACTAAGTCTTTTTTTGCTCCAGATATATTGGGATCAAAAACTGATTAACTAAGATCTAAGATTGTTTTATCGCATAGACATCCACAGTCCATTATTCTATATAGATCACCTTTAGAAAATTGCTAGAGTGCACTATTTAAGACATTTTATCAGCTGAGCCTTCTCCTTTTGGCCGAGAAATGAATTTTGTTTTGTTGTTATTTTTTGTGTTTTGTTTTTATATTTTTCTTGATCAATGAATGGTGTTTTATTTTATTTTACATTATTTTTTTCAAATTCAGATATACATTTCTGGGGTCGTGAAGAATATATGGAAGTCCTAAGTGAAGTTCAGTCCAAAATAATCCATGTAATGGATGTAATCAACGATTACGATTGGCCAGCTTTGCCAATATCCAAATTGGACATCGTCGCGTTACCCAACTACCAGGGCGTGAAGCCAGCTGATAATTGGGGCCTTATCGTGTTCAAGTGAGTACTTAGATGTAATTTAGATTATAATCTGTACACTATAAAGTTGAAAGTCCAATGATAAGTGAAAAGGGCAAAATAAATCGCTTAAGTGACCTTGGGTAAGTGATGTTTTAAGGTAATTACGTTCTTATATTTTGCACCTTTTTACGTTGAGTTACAGATGATTTTACAATGTGTTTAGGGAGAGTGATCTGAACAATGATGGCTACATCCAGCTGGCGCAGGAGGTGCTGCACCAGTGGCTGGGCGGGCTGGTGACCCCTGCCTGGTGGTCTGATGTCCACATAAATAAGGCTCTTGTTGGATACTTAGCTGTCGAAGCTTCCTTTATGGTATACACCTATTTTACTAATCAGAATGTCTTGTTGAGGCCAAGATCAGTAACGAGTTATAAAAAGTTTTAAAAGATAGATATAACTATTTTGCTTTGTATAATTTTGTTGATATCAAAGGATTCTCCATTATTACCAACCGTCACCCTCTCTGTTCCCACGTGGACACAGATGAGAATTAAAAGTTTCATCTGTCCCACGGTTTGGGATGAGACGACTGCCGCAACTTATAGTATTTCATAACGGTTCCATATGACACCTTATTGGTGATGGTGGGACTAAAAGGTGGGACGGATGAACTTTTTATTCTCACGTGGGGACAAACGAGGTCACGGTTGGGAATAATCCTCTCCATTACTACATTAGTCTTTGTTGAGGTGGATGGTTATCTTTAATATGATAAGTGTAACTTTTTTAAACGTGACGTCATTAGCACATTAATACCAAAATAAAAGACAATCTAGTAGCACATTTTTAATAGGAAAAGCTCGTACAATATTGTATCGAGCAATAACGGGCAATAAATTTTCGTTTGAGTGACGATAACATAAGGCATTGTTTTTTCTGAGTGTCCTCGTACCCGCATAGGACGTCCGACCGCGGCACGTGATCAATCAGCGATGCTTTTCTACACCACTGTACAATACGGTACAGTCTCACACAACGCTGTTACAATAAATACACGTCTATAGACACGTTTATCGCTTTTTATGTTTACAGTGAAAATATAGAAATCCATTAAAGTATTTTTTCTTCTAATATGAGTTTGAATTGATATTGAAATAAAAGTACAATGCACAACGAATACAGACGTGGACATTGTCCAACTTTATGTAACAACCTAAGTAAAGACGCTTTGAAGGATAAATTCTTAACTTCAGACATTTGTTTTTGTTTATGCCGTTATACGTAAGGTCTATCTGCTTTGTTTCTACTGTTTAGTCACGCTTGATTTCTATGAACTTATATGGAGGTGGCCGCCCTAAACAAACCTGGCTGCGTTCAGTCTCGTTCAGTTCAGTCCGAGATACTACTCAGAGCCCAGGACAGAGCGAACTGGCGGCGTACTGTGGACGCCCTCTGTCCCACTTTGGGGACATAGGAATAGAAGAGAGAGATATGGAGGTTACACTACTCGATTTTGAGTTGTGCAACTAAACAGCTGAATTAGCTACGAAACAATTGACTATCGATAATCGCATAACATTTTAGTCAAAGATGTGTTATAACTTTTTAACCTTTTGTTAACCATTCTGTTAGGTTATCTAACCTTGTTAACCTTTTGTTAATCTGTTGTTAACTATTTTGGTTCAATACAGATAAATGATGGTAGGGAGATGGATGGCAAATGGCCGATGACAGTGCTGTATTCATTGTACTACGAGTACAGTAAGCGGTACCCGCACTCCAGGATCACTGGCATGAAGCAGGAGACGATGAGCACCAAGATCGAATTGCTCTTCCGAATGTTTAACTTCACGCTCGGCGAAGTTGCGTTCCGGAATGGAGTCAGGAAGTTCCTGCTTGAGAGGTGAATATTTTGTGGATAGGTAGCGTTAATTCCCTACGTGAAAAAAGCATAAAGATTTGTCCCTTGTCCCTATGAAGGGACAATATCATATGTGGTCTTCCTTACATCTCTTTCAGCTGTAAAATCTGAATTCACTCCCTTAAGTATATAGAGGATATAATACAATCACATTGTAGTTAGATTGTGGGCAGTAAAAGGGACAGATGAAAGGAGACTACATGTGGCAGAAATGAGAATGTTATGGATGTGTGGAGTAACACGAAGGGATAAGATACGTAAAGAGTATATTAGAGGAAGTTTGAGAGTAGCGCCAGTGGTAGAGAAGGTAAGGAGTAAAAGGTTAGCATGGTATGGGCATGTTATGAGGGCTGAATCGTATGTTACAAGGAGAACGTTAGTTATGAGTGTACACCGGTAGAGGTAGACGTAGAAAGTGATGGATGGATTGAAAGGTGACATGATCAAGAAGGGAGTGATGACTGACATGACGTATGATAGTTATGTGGAGGACAAAAACCTTGTGCGCCCTACGGAAGTAGGATAAGGAGGGTGATGATGACATTGAGATTAAGTGACTCCTAAATGTGATGATAGTTGAATAGCGATTAAATTAAAAAAAGGGGATTTTATTTTACAGTAAGTCATTGATAATGTACCTGCAATTTTCTGCCTAAAACCTTCACGAAATTTTCAAATGTGATAGAAACTTGAAGCAAAAGAGGATGTAATAAGAAAGTTTTAACTTTCAAAGGCGAGTTTTCGTTAGAATCTTACAAACTACATTGTAAAAGGATGAAAGTTTGTAGTTACTTTTAAGAATATGTGATTGCTTGTGAATTTTTATTAGTTTTGGCTTTTGTAGGATTTTTAATAAACATTCCGTCTATACAAAGTTGATTTGACTTAAGATTGAATTTTTAATTTTACAAATTCTAGGGCGTATAAAACATTCGACAGCAATTTCCTCTGGGATTGCTTGAATGCGGAATTCGCATTGGTAAACCGCGACAAGCAGATTAACGTGAAGACAATTGCTCAGAGCTGGATAGAGAAGGACAGACTTCCGATGATCACACTCACCAGATATTACAATAATCGTACTGCTCTTTTAAAACAGGTAACGCAAAGGTTGTAATCATACTTCATACTGATATTACGAGTATAAATGTGAAAGTTTAGATGGATGGATAGATGTTTGTTAGAGTTTGTAGCCTAAAAGGCTGAACGGATTTCGATGAAATTTGGTATAGATGTAGAGGATAGTCTGGAAGAACACATAGGCTACTGACTTTTGTTTTTTTTTTTAATTCTACGCGGACGATGTCGCGGGCGAAAGTTAGTTTAAAATAATTGAAGTTTTGATCTTCTAGTTTTCAATCTTCCACTGAACATTTACAAATCTAATTATTTAGCTATCAGCCAAAATGATTAGCACATTCAAGATTATAAGATATCGTATATCTTACTAATATTATAAATGCGAAAGTTTAAATGGAAGTTTGTATCCTAAACTGCTGAATGGATCTCGATGAAATTTGGATAGATGTAAAAGATAGTCTGTAAGAATACATAGACTACTTAGCTAACTTAGAAAGGTTTTGATTTTTTTTTAATTCTTCGTGGAAGGAGTCGCGTGCGAATGCTTATTTTTTGAGCTGATAGTGTATAAATAATGTTTTGCAATTAGAAATTATACCTCCGCGAGCGTCCACACGACGTACCGGATGCAGGGGAAATGGTTTGGTGGATTCCTCTTATAATGACGCGCGGCGACGACAGCTACTTCTACCCCAACGTGATGAGCTGGATGGACAGCTCCGAGTTCATCATACAACACGCGCCCAATGAAAATGTCTTCATCGTTATCAATCCTGAGGAAATTGGTAAGTAATACTCACTACTTAAATAGGTTCATTTTTACTTACATCATTACCAATGTACGGCCCCTCTAAGGGGCTCCGAGTCTACCCTTAGTTAGGGTGTCAAGGCCATAGTCAACCACGCTGGCAAAGTCCGGGTTGACTTCACACATATCGTTGAATTTTTTCGCCGATATGTACAGAATGTTAGGTAAATTACTTACATATATGAAATTCGAAAATAATTGAGATTCCAACCCAAGACCTGTAGATTACAAGTCAAGTGCTTAGACGACCTTTTTTACTTTAGTATAATTTAATTTTACTTCTTACTAAATGCGAAAATTTAGATGTATGGATGTTTGTTACGTATCTCCAATAAATATAAACATTTTTCAGCCCCATGTCCCGTTAATTATGATCAGCGTAATTGGTACCTTATCGCGAAATCTCTCCAAAACGACCACAGAGACTTGTTGTCTCCGCTCAGCCGCGCCAAAGTCCTCCACGACGCCTGGAACCTCGCCTTCGCTGGAGAACTCTCCTTCGCGACCGCACTCAATATGACGCTGTTCTTGAAGAAAGAGAAGCATCACATCGTGTGGGACCCTGTGTTCACAATGATCGATCACATCGCAAGACACGTTTGGGATATACGAGATAAATTCAACGTAAGTCTTCATAGAAATTATTACAATGATTACCTAACGCAACTAAACCATCTTAAGACTGAAGATCTGAATGTTGGGCAGTAAAACGGATAAAAGGACAAATTGTGGCAGAAACGAGAATGTTACGTGTAATGAAATATTTGTAACAGCTTTGAAATAAAGATTAAGAAAAAACAAACCGGAGGGAGAGGGGATTTAATAAATAGGATTAATAGTAGGAGAAGTGATTCTTAGAGACAGTTTTAACTTTTTTCCAGGCCTACATCATAAGTATTTTGTGCCCGATGTACGAGGAATTAGAAAAGAAAAATGAAGGAGACGACTTGACTATCTATCAGACTAATTTGCGGGCACATTTGAAGACTTTCCTCTGTCAGGCAGGGTACAAGCCCTGCATACAAGAGGCGCAAGAACAGTACAGAAAGTGGATGAATGCACAAAATCCTGATGAAGGCAATCCGTAAGTATAATAAACTAACTGACTAGACTTCGTCCGCGTGGAATTAAAAAATATAGAAAAAGTATAGACTATATTACTCAGAGACAAGTAGCTTTTAAATAGTAAAAAAAGGATTTTTGATTATAGACTATTGGACTAGTTTTTGAGTTATTTTAATGTATATAATACATAAATACAAATCTTTCCTCTGTATAATATTAGCATAGATATACTTAAAAATGTTAAAAGCAAAACAAAAGCAGTTTAGGAAATAACAATTGTTGAAATAACAGTTGAACAAACAGCAGTTAATACATCTGTATATTTATTAATTTCAGAGTATCTGATAGATATTTCTGTCCAGTGTTCCGCTGGGGGACACAAGAGGAATGGGAGTTTGGATTACAGAGAGTTATTAACTTCCCTCATTCTAGAAAACAAAGTGAAAGAACATACCTTTTAAAAACACTGGCAGGATGTTTGAGAGACAAAACTAAGATTACGAGGCTTTTAAATATAACGCTTTTAGAAGGGAATGCAAATTTCACTGAAATGGATCTATTTTTAATAAACAATATGTTTGCGAATTCTCCTCAAGCATATACCACGTTGCTGCAATTTATAAGTGATAATTGGGACATCATAAGAGAGAGGTTAGTATAAAAGGGTTGCTGGTTGCAGGGCTTATTTTAGCATTACTTCGCCCTGGGCGAGATTTCTACTGCGCCCTGGGCGATCGCTCCACATTGCCCTATCCAAACTCCGATATTGAGTAATTGCATAAAATCATTATAATTTGAAGACAAAATTTGTGACGTCAGATTTACTTCACGTTTAATACTAAAGTTTGTGTGTTACAAACCCTGTCCCTATTCAATTTCTAGGCGTTTTAAGGTTATGTTTCTTCTTCCTTCTTTCTAGATTTTATTCTGATAATTTTCTTTTCAGGTATAATACAAAATCTAATCTGTGGTCTCATCTGATATCGACTGCGACTTCGCACTTTACAACAGAAGCTGGTCTTGAATTAGTGAGGAGTTTGCAAACAGCACATAAAGGGGAGTTTGGTCCCGCGGAGCACATCGTTGAGAAATCCATTAAAAATATCAAAGAAGAATGTCAATGGTCCGCACAGAATTTGCCTATTATGGAAAAATGGCTGGACGCGTATTTACACATGAATGGTATTATTGTTGAATCAACACAGTCACCTTGAACGGTAACCATTAAAGTTTTTGTTAATTAAATTATTGTTATTAGAAATGTTACAAAATTTTAATGATTAAAATTTTTTGTAAATGTGTATTTTAATCGTACAAGATTGGATATTTAAGAAAAATAAATATTTTTTTCTAGAAAATAGTTTTCATCAAAATAATTTCTGTTTTGTATGTTTTTAATTTCTTTTTTATTTTTTCATATTAATTTAATTAGTAAGTTTCTACTATATTCTACTTGTGCAATTATACAATTTAATTTTAAGATTTGAATTATTATTATTAATAAACCACGTGCATATTTCTTTCAATAAACATCTTTTTATATAACTGACTTTTTTTTAAATCCTTTCAACTAATCAAATTAAATGTCAAATTTCATTTCTCCGAAAATATTTTAGTTTGAAATTGGAATGGCCATTTATTTTTAAAATTCTTTAAAACGTCATTTAAATGCAACCAGCCTGTCGGCAATCTCTGACGGATGCATTTTTAAAAACTCTGCGGAATTCAATTTAAAAATCTGCATCAAAAATAGCACGAAAGTTTATAGAATTGATGTTCGAAAGTACGAATGTATAAATAAATATTAACAAAGACCAATATTATAAAAATATTGACGCTCCTCTCACTTTCATAGACAGCAATAATGTGCGTAAAGAGTTTTAATATCTGAAATTTACAGTTAACTTGAAAAAATAATTACCGAATAGTTATACATGTACTATTTGTACTATTTATGAACTTGTACTATTTGAATACTTAACGAATGCCAATCATACTTTTTACTCATAATATAAATGTAAATGTTTGAATGGATCTTTGTCACTACATATCTCCAAAACTCCTTAACGGATTTCGATTAAATTTGGCAAAGATGTACAACATAGTCTGGAAGACACTGGCTACTTAATAAATTCTTTTAATTCCATGAAGAAAAAGTGCTCGGTTAGTTGAAATGTAGATTAAAAATCTTATTATCGTTAAATATGTTCCGCATATGTTTATATTTAGCCGTTTATGCGCGATTCCATCGCACGTGTTCGTGAATATAATTTCAGAATTTGTGGTAGTTATTAGTACACTTACGCTCACACATGGTTCGTGTTAATACGAGGCAAATAACTGATGCGTTTGGGTAAGTACAATATTGTGGTAAGTATACAATAGCTTTCGCCCGCGAATCTGTCCATGTAGAGTTAATAAAAATAAAAGTATCCTATGTGTTCTTTTAGTCTATCCTCTAAATTTATGCCAAACTTCATCGAGATCCGTTCAGTACTCTACAAACTATTTATATTTATGTAAAGCAGTGGACTGTATCTTGGTTTGTAAATAAATAGTAGGCTGGTCGATTGGATGATATATTGGTCAGAATAGTTTCAAGTTGCATTTGTTTAAGTATATGTCTTGTCTTGTGGTCGATCGGAGCGCAACTGGACGGCGCGGTGTGAGGGCGCGCGGGGGACGGACGAAGGCTGAAAGGGCCCCTTCGCCCCTCATCCCGCCGGTGTTGCTTTGAGACGCAACAATTTAAAAGATAAATAAAATGATTTTAAAGACATTCAAATAAATCGAAAAGGGAATACTGACAATGTACATTATTGTATTAATAAACACATAAATAGAACTTAATTGAATTAAATGTCGTTTAAAACAACAACAAAAAATACAGAAGAATGGATGGATTGAGTGAGAGTGAGTAAGAAGGGAGTGAATTCAGATATGACCGCTGATAGAGATGTATTTAAGAGTACATACTATGCCCTTAAAGAAAAGGGTAGGTTGCTTCTCAGAATATATTTTCCTGTTAACCATATTCTTGTTTATATAACATTGATCTACCAATGTTATTAATATTTATTAATAGTTTGACCCTTTTACGATTAGAGATTTCTATATTTCCGTATAAAACTCGGTATAACTTATCTATTCGCAGAGAAACGTTGAGTTATAAACAGTGTGTCAATATGCTTCGGATTTATATATTCATTTGTGAGTTTTTATCTTATTATAATACTGTTCCTTTTGCGTCTTCATCCGCATGATACTTTCGTCCAAATTCACACACAAAATAAAATAGCATAAAATGGCCCTATCCGTTCTAAGACTATCCGTCTTTAGCGTGTTATGTGTAGGGCATTTTATTAAAATAATAATCATTCGAAAACATATAGTGATTACTGACGTCCTACATAACAATTAGTTGTAGTAAAAATTATCTTGAAATTCCACAATTTAAAAGACGCGTTAATCTAAAATGATCAACTAAAATGTTGAATGAATAAACTTTTCTTCCAGTGTCAGTAGTCTTAGTGCAATGTATGGACGGCTCCTGTCCACCCACACTGCCTGTCTCGGAGTGCGGCGCGACATGCGGGCCCCAGCGACCTTGTGATAGCACACAACTATGCTGCCCCACTGAATGCGGTGGCTCCATCTGTGTGGACCCTATGACTAAACGACACTTCGTTAATTACGGTAACCCATAGGCTTATTATTATACGACTGCTGAATAGACAGTATAATCAAAGATCTGGTGATTCATAGACATCTAGAACTATATGTGTGATTATATATTTTTATGAAGATTTGACAGTGGTAAAGCCCGCTTTAACATCTTTGCACGAATGGGTCGGCTCGCCCGGTGAAATACCACGACCACAGGGAAGACAGGCGTGAAGTGGGAGCAATTACGCGTTACGTCTGATGAGTGTGGTGCCGGAGGCTTTAGCCCCTTTCCCTTCCCACCCTTTCTCTTATAACAAAAGGATGGGGGGGAACGTGGATTTGACGGTGGAGGAGGTACATAGGAGGGAGAAATATCCTGTTTATGTGCGTCTCCTCCTACGTTGATTAAGGGTAGGCAACGCATCCGCTATTGCGAATGTCTATGGGCAGCGGTCGTCGCAATTTCGGTGGATTCGTGTGCCCGCCTGCTCGTTTGCCACCTTATAATATAAAAAAAGCACTCAGAGTTCAGAGACAGAAAATGGATGGAATGGAATAAGCTTCAAGAGTATAGTTTCATGGTATCTTTATTCACCATCCTTTAATAAGGAGGTTTAAAAAATTGCGGTCCATTGGGACGAACTATAAACGAGCTTGGTGCATTGCATTCAAATTTAACTATAGTTAGCTTCGGAGCATCCCAAATGATAAGAATAAATGGTATAGTGAACTATTCTGTAATAATGAATGTTACAGTGAAGGACGGCAAATGTTCGGAGCAGCCGCGGGGCACGTGGTCGTGTAGTCATACCTGTACGACGGACGCCGACTGCCCGCGAGCACTCAAGTGCTGCCCAAACAGATGCGGTGCCCTTACCTGCAGGATGCCTTCATTCCCTAACGTGCCTCTAGCTTCATAATAATTATAAATGTGAAAGTTTAGATGGATGGATGGATGGATGTTTGTTAGAGTTTGTAGCCAAAACTGCTGAACGGATTTCAATAAAATTTGGCATGGATGTAGAGGATAGTCTGGAAGAACATGTAGGCTACTTGGTTTCGTTTTTTTTTAATACCACGCGGACGGATTCCCGGGCGAAAGCTAGTTAAAACATAAATATCAACATCACCTCTGACTGAGGCCCTTTACTTTACTCATCAGTCAATAGATCAGAGTGAAGGTTCACGCTTCTTGCCACCTATTATCGTTTTATCGTATAATTCTATCAATATCAAGGGTTTTTTCCTCTTAGTAGAATAATAGTAATTCTGTAATAAGCGACTTATACAACAGACAATTTAGCGGAAACGGAAAACAACTGCTAAATATCTAATTTGTATCGAAACGGTTAGCAGTAAGAAAACTCTATTAGAGTTATGCTCGCCTGTACAACCAACTATCAATATGTATTTATTGTAATTGTTTTCCTTGTGTACAAAGTGTAAATAAATAAATTAAAATAAAACTTTACTTTGCAGAATTGTACTCACGTTTATCCTATTAGCTACTAAAGGAAAATAATGTAGATACAAGAACAAACGCTTGTGTACTATTGACTTTGTTATTCAAATGATTTTGAATATTCAAACGCGAATGATTTCCTTTAAAAATGAAATTGGTGGTCTGCTTTAGAATATCCAATTAATATTTATGGGCGTTGAGAAAAGGTTCCATTATTCATCACTAATGTAAAATTGCCACAACAGAGTAGATAATTCAGTAGATCAAAGTAGCTGATAAAATATCTATTTCACGTATCGTTAACAATTAAACCTCTAGTCATCTTACATACACTAGATGTCATAATTTCAAATTGTTTGCATTTAGAAAGAAAATACATAAATTTTCAATAAATTGTATGAAGTATTTTTGTCCTCTCCTTCTCCGTCGATTTAAATGTTTTGGGAATACCAATGGACAGCGGTTGTTTCGCTATTTCGGTGAATTCAGACCCCTAGCTCATCTGCCACCTTATAAAAAATAGTTACATTTTAAAAGAAAACATAATCCAATGAATTACATGTAAATTCTAACAAGATTGGACACTGACAAAACTGAAGTTCGTCAGCTGGCTTTGTCTGCACTGGAACTTAGGCTAGAAGTAAATTAGTTCCCCGTTTCACACGTGGAACTGATTCTGATCTAGGTCGAGATGCTTTCGATCAAGCGAATGGTGAAAGCTGTGAATTAATCGTACTATTGAAAATAAACGTAATCACAGACGTTAATGTATAAATCATTTATTTTCAGTTCTAATATTAAAGTAAACTACAATATAATTTACGTCTGGAGTCTTTGTTCATGGTATACAATCTTTTTAGAATAATATTGTTAAGTTCTCTCATAAAACAATTGAACAAAGAACTTTATAAGTAAGTTTTAAATAAGTAACTTTTTAATCCGTAAGAAGTAATGCTTTTTAAACTTTAAAACAATTTTAATACATTAGGGAATTTATATTTGATTTAATAATCAATTAAAAAAGGGTGTCCTATACATATTGCATTTCATAGTTAAAGTGAAGCTTTAGCGCTTTACTTAATCTCCTGTGCTTTATTAAGCTCTAGATCTTATCGCTTAATAAATCCTCCGCAACGCTTGGATAATATTGTTGACATGAAATATAACTATGCCTTTATAACCGTTTGATAATTTATTAAATACCTTCTTAAAAAAAGATTATAATAAGTTTGCAAGTTCTTGAGGTATGTGTGAAGAAATGATGTTATTTAGTCGACTAGTTATGGGAAATAACATTTGCTTGTTCAATCGTTCCTTTAAGAAGTCTAAATAAAAGTGAGTTACCCAGTAACATTCGACAATGTGACGATAGACAAATTTTAAAATTAACATGTTAAAATAAACTACAATAACCTTGTTACATTCGTGGTTTCCAATATTAACGTATCGGAATTCCAAAAATAATCACATTATTGAATTCAGGTCATCGCTTAGAGTAAAAATTTAATTTTCTCCAAGCCGGTGGCAAAGCGATGACGCTCAAAAGCCCGAAGGCGGAAAGTATGTGCCCAAACGGGTAGCGGGGGACGGGGATTGTAGCAGGGTGTGGCGGGGAGGGGTGCTTTGTTTGAAAAATATGAAACGTCTGTGGAAAATTAGGCCACAAAACTATAACATTAATTGTGTCTCAATATCGTAAAAGCAAAAAGCAGAGGGTTTTTAATATCAGCATAGACGTCATTTTCGTAAAAACCGTTATGGAATTTAAAAGGCGAATAAACTGAAAATCATTGTATTATTATTTTTTTATAATATTTTAATATTAAAGGATTTTTAAATACTACTATTATTCACGACTCTCGTTGAATTTATTCATTGCATTCGATTTACACTCACTTCATACAATTTAAAGCGTCCATTCGTTACCTTGCTACTTCTATGCATTATTTAATTCACGTAGTTTACAGGAAGCTGCGATCCATTATCGGCAGCGTTCGAACGTAATTGAATAATAGCTCGCTTAACGAGGCAATGTGCAGCTAACAATTTTATTTTATAGCTTAAAGATTATTACGACTAGCTTGGGATTTTAAGATTGAGTATAAAAATATTCTTTTTTGCTAGTTTTGGAAAGTGTAATTGCCTATTCTTCTGTAATTATGAATAGGAAAGATCTGCTCGTTTTTTTGCATTGAATATGTTCCAAAACTACTGAGACGATATCAAAAATACTATCGCCTTTAGAAAACTAGCATTGTATATAGGCCATATTTTACACAAGAACAACTTTAAAAGCTTTAATAAATATATTGATAAACTGAAATTTGGGATGATATAATATCTTACTAATATAAATGCAAAAGTTTAAATGGATGGACGGATGTTTGTTAGTTCAAGCCTAAACGGCTGAGCGGATCTCGATGAAATTTGGCATATATGCAGGGCATAGTCTGGAAGAATATACAGGCTACTTACTTTTGTTTTTTTATTAATTCCACGCGGACGGAATCGCAGGCAAAAGCTAGTATATTATAAAACAGGGTTTAAAAAATGGAAAATAATCGTTTTAATTTTAACATTAGCTAGTATTTATTTAACTTTAGTACACTATCTTCCTTGTACATTAGGTTCATCAGGGTCTGGTTTCTGACACGTGAGGGCGCCACATCTGTTGGTGCAGCATTTTAGCGCTCGCGGACAATCTGAGTCACTTGTACACGTGTGGCTGCAAACCCATGGCCCACCGGGGTACTCGGGACATTGGCCTTTCTTCACTGGAAATAAAAGACTTTTTATTGATACTAGCTGTTCCCGTGCGGCTTCATCCGCATGAAATTATGAAAATTTTATCTTATTGTTTAAATGTGTCAAATTATCAATTGAAAATGTCAAAATGACATGACATGAAAACCTTGGCAATGTTCCTCTCTTGATGTTGGCAGCAACTTATGGTCTCTTTTCCACATTAGGGTTTTTATCCAAAATATTTACCCCCTAAGTTTAATGGCGTGAAAATATATAGCCTAAAGCATGACGTAAGTGTAGGGCTTTTTATTTAAAGAAGGAATTATCCAAAATATGATGTGATTGCTGACACCTTAGGTAACAAAGAAGTGTGTTTACGCTTTATTATAATAGTATAGATACCGTCAACCAACCCGCACTAGGCCTTTTTTTTCAGAGGGGAATGCTTTATGGATACTACCGCACTCGGGGGAGCGCTGCAGCTATGTGGGGTTCTCCTCTTGCGAGGCACTGAACCCCTATCTTCCAACACATTGGCTGGGGCCACGGGCACGCTTTCGCTTTCGTCCGGGTCCCCATCTGCAACCCTCACTAGCCTTGGGTTGACAAAGGCCTAGTCACCTTTTATTTAGTGTAGGCTCCGAGCTCCATAGTGGGGACGTTTAGTGAACTGGTGATGATGATATTAACATATTGACATATTGACATATTGACATATTGACATATTGACGTATTGACATGTTGACATGTTGACTTATTGACATACTGACATATTGATTGATTTTAGTCCCTTTTCTTTCCACAATTATCTTACACTAAAAGGATGGGAAGGGAAAGTGGAGGAGACACACAGGAAGTGGAAACATCCCCTTTATGTGCGTCTCCTTCTCGTTGCATTAAGGGCAGGCAACTCAACCGCAATTGCGGATGTATGGGCAGAGATCGCTTCGCTTTCTCGGCGAATTTGTCCGCCTGCTCGTTTGCCACTTTATAATATAAAAAAAAAACTAACCTAAAGTGATGAAATGCCGCTGCGTCATGGGGTCAACACACATAGCACCACCACAGGCCGTGGGGCAGCATATTTTAGTATTCCCACAGGACACGCTAGGCCCACAAGACGCCTCGCACATATCTACAGATAGCGTCGGTGGACATGATCCCGGCGCACCGCTCACAAGCAACAACGCTGGGAACACTAAAGAGAAAGACATATAATTTTACTGAAGGTACGAAAAGGTGTATTATTTTTAAGTGTAGATTTGTTAGCAAACTATTGGTTTACTTTTAATATATTTGTGGATGAATTTCTATATTATTTTTAAGTTAGACTGTTGGTTTGTAGTCAATTTAGGTTAGATAAGGCACAGAAATTATCTGTGAGTCTAAATCAATTGACGAAACGTACAAATTGTGTTATTATTGTAAATTCCTTAATGTAGATTTGACTAAATAACATTTGCATAGACTTGTAACAATTCTAACCAATGTTACAAGTATTCAAAAATCAATTGTACACTAGCAAGTTAATAGTTACAACACGTAACATTGTATGGAGTTCTACTTACAGGCAAGTATGTAGTGCATCTGTACGCTCCCTCAGGGCCGTGTGTGTTCGCGCTTTGATTCCGCCAGCGACAATAATGAGCGTCTTGACACAAATAATCCAATACACACGGATGTAACGATTATCGCGCATTATGTATATTTTAAACGACTCATGTAGATATTTAATTTACTGAGATTAATGAACTCGTACTTCTTTTGTCACAGGATATTAAAACCAATATACAAACACATTAAAGAAAACGTAGACACTTTGACGCACAAGTATTATTTTCATATCTCCCATTTTTATGTAAAACTATTATAAAATTATATGACATAAAATAGAAAAATTGTACAAAGTAACAAATAATGTGAATTTATGTGGTTGCTTATAAAAAAATTAAAATCAATTTTGAAAAATTAGGTGAACCTAATAAAACATTCATTATTCTCTAAGCTATCTGTCAATGTGTATCGTATGTTAATGTCACACAGATATCTCCGGGATGGCGTCACGGGGCCCGCGGGGGGAGTGGGGGGAGAGAGCTCTATATGAAATTGTAATACAATCCGAGAGTTCGTTCCGAAGCATTACACTGTGACATGTGACGTAAATTATGGATTATATTTCATGACTTTCACGTATTAATCGTGGAAATTATTATTGAGATAGAGAATTATGATTCTATACGTCCAAAACTTAATTTCCTTCAGTTCAATGTTTGGAGTTGTGATATTTTGTTTATTTATTGTGGGATTTTTTATAGTAAAATTCAAATTCACTTCACATTAGAGCAATCCGCTGACGGAGAAACATAAAAAGGAAATAGATAGATAGATAGATAGTATAATCCATTTTTAAATAAATATTGTCTTATTTAAGCACCAATAACCTAATGGTTCGGGGTACGGACTACCGATCTTGCCGTCGAGGGTTCGAATCCCGCCATTCGACTATTGTCAACCATATCCTAGCACAAGCCTAGAGCTTACTTGGAATGGCTAAAGGAAATATTAGTAAATTAACAAAAATCTACTATTTTTTTTAATTAATCTTTAAGTAAAGCAATATATTTTGTTGTTTATAACTTTTTCCTTTATTAATTACTAAAAATAATCATTTCTATTGTATCCACAAACAATCTTCTTTATCCTGTATGTATTTGTATTGTTGAATCCAAATATATTATTCTTATTTTGTATTGTAATGCTCTGTTAGCAGTAACTAAACGACAATTTTCCTTATTATTAGTCTGATACAAATATTTACATTTTGTTCATCTCTTTTCACTATCAGCTAAGGTTATCAACTAACCTTGACTTGAACTATATAATGTAGATTTCTCGGTATTCAAAGAGAATGTAGATAAAACTAGAACACGGGTACTTTGCTAAGATCCCTATTGTTGTTTAAAACTGTTAAATTCTGATACAAATAATAATGTTTCAAAGAACCATAGCGATCATAGAGGTCAATTACATTATATCCGGATGCTGAAACGATATTTAAATATGTAACAGCGTCTTAAGCACCGGTGCCGCACTGTGGGCAATTTCTTGAGCCTCCATAGACAAATTTTGAATGTCTCATATTATTAAAACATCAGATGAATGTGTCTATAGAGGCCTAAGAAATTGCCCACAGTGGGCCACGCCGCTTCCTTTAACAGAATTAAATATTTTAATTGATTTTCGAATTCAAGCTTGTCAATATCATTTAAAAGTAATACATTTGAACGTCGTTTCAGTATGTGGCCGTGGCCCGCTCTTAATTGAGAGTTCATTAGTTTGATGTAAGGTTGTAATAATTGAAATGTGGAGTTTCCAGCTGTCAGTATATGGAACGCGAGTTTGCCGTTTGATCAATCTCCGCAAGTAATCAGCTGTCTACAGAGATTGAAGATCTGCCAATCGCATGTTACTTAAATACGATTGAATCATTTCACAATTAAAACAACGAAGGAAATAGGAATAAGATTGTTGTGCAGAATTTCTGGATTATTCCTAACCGTCAGCCCGCTATGTCCCCACATGGGGACAGATGAGAATTAAAAGTTTTATTCGTCCCACTCTTTGCGGCGAGGGGACGGTTGGAACATATTTTATTTCTTAAACGTTCCATCTGTTACAGTATAGCTGATATTGGGACTAAAATGTGCAACAGATTCAACTTTTTATTCTCATCTGTCCCCACGTGGGGACAGATCGATTGACTGTTGGGAATAATCAGAATTTCTAGTACTTGATTCAGAATTCTTTAATGAAACATCTACAATCACAACTAAAATACTTTGTTGTAACTTTCCTATGGCAGATTTCAATTGCATGTTTGTGTTTGATCGTGTTTTTTTTTAATTTAACATTGTTTACCTTAGATAGGTGATGCTCTGATTGTGCCGAAGGGCTTGGCTTGCTTCCAATAAACCTGTTGATTGCACCGTAAGTATTTTCCGATGTTTACTAAGTCTGCTTCTAGTCTTGTTTTTCATTCGTCTGTTGACTGAACTGGTTTAATTAGCAAGTAGAAAATTGTAATTTTATTTTTCAACGCCATATTTATTTATGTTTAACGGAATGCATAGTATTAGACATTGAGGAAGGCTTCTGTATAGCTCTGGGTAGACAAAGTCTCATTTTATTTGCGTGTGTTTTTAGTAATTGGAAAGATAAAAAAAAGTACATTTGTCGTTTCAAACGTAGAATGAGTTGCAAAAGTTATAGCAAGAATTTATTGCGATATATTTGGCAAAGAAAAATTAACTTGATAAATCAAAATATTTAGTAGTAGTCACATTTAATAATTATAATAAAAAAACTACCAATGCCTCTGAACAACAAACTATTTTAAAGACATTTGTTTTAGAAATCATTTAGTACCATGCTATTCCTAAATAAATCGTTAATTTTACTAAATATTACACTACGGTATATTTATTTTTTTCTTTTTCGTGGTTTATTATAAAATAAATTCAAAGTGAAACGTCCGCAATAAACCTTTTACGCCTCAGTGTGGATTGACGATGAAAAAGACAAAGAGCTGCAATAATTCACCTTTCCCTTTCCACGTGGATTCATTTCTCGCTCCGCCAGTGTTACTAATTGAAAGACTGTTTTATTCGAATGATACGAATAAAAATTCATAATATAAAAGCAAAAAATGACGTACATGCGTGTATGTTTTGACTCCGAAGCCGTACAAGTTTTTACAGTTTTGTAAATGTATACACACTTTTGTGTGTTTCGACTGATGAATGTGGTGCCGAAGGCCTAAATTTAGTCCTTTTCCTTTTCCCCCCTTTTCTTAAGAGGAAGGGATGGGAAGGAAAAGTGCATTTGACGGTGGTGGAGACGCATGGGAAGGGGAAATGTCATCTTTATGTGCGTCTCCTCCGTCAGTTAAGGAGAGGCAACGCATCTGCAATTGCGGATAATAGGCAGCGGTCGCTTTCCATTCTGGTGGATTCAGGTGTCCGCTTGCTCGTTTGCCAACCTTATATTATAAAAAAAGACAGTACAGTAACGTAACAGTTTATTTTTTAATCTCCTCACTCTCTTGCGAGTTAGCTTTCGGCATACTATCCTTTACGGTTGGTTAAGATACATATTTTACAATCAAATATTATTTTAAACGAAATACTGGTGAGAAATTAGAATTTACAAATACAAATGTAATAATAATCAAACAAACAATTTTACGTAACATTTTTCGTTCTTTTCCGTTTTCAGGTTAAGGTGTATTTGCGTAAGGGAAGTGAGGCAAGGCAAACACAATTATGGTAAACTGAATCCCGTTGCCGAATCAAATGTCATATCAATCAAACGGTACACAAATATTGTCGGTTTTAACATGGGAGACGAGTTTGTGATTTCGATTTTACAAGCGAGAGTTGTACGAAGAAAACATACGTGTAACTTTTTTTATTTGTTTTTTATTTTGACGTCGTACTCAAGAATGACATTTTAATTTTCCACGTATTTTTCTCTATTATAATAATATGTGTGCAAAATCAACGATCCTGTGTTACCCTCGAATTTCAACAACCAATCGGCCCAATGGGAAAAAATCTAATGGTTCAACGGGAAACACCCCAATGATTAACAAAAAAAAAGTGAGTTGTTGAACTCAACTGAGTTATGGTATAAACTCACTAACATTGTTATTTGAATGCTAAAAAATTGGTTATTAAAAACTGTGTAACTTAAACCAAGTTTAAGTGTTCAGAAGATTTTCGTCACAAACTTGCTGAGTTTCATTAGTTTGATAGCGTGACTGTGACGTCACAGGATTAATGGATCCCAGATGCGGACAGAGCTCTTTGTTCCGAAAGACCGGGCGAATTTTCTTAAAAATGTTTCAAATTGTCAACGAAAAGGTTGACAATAAGAACACTAGGGTGCGAGGGTCACGTGGTGAAAGTTTGTAGTCATTTTAAAAATACAGAATTAATCATACTAATATTATAAATGTTAAAGTTTAGATGGATGAGTTTATTAGTAGTAACCTAAACTGCTGAACGGATCTCTATGAAATTCGGCTTATATGCATAGAGCATAGTATTTTATACTTAAACAAAATTACTTGTCATGTTTGTACAAATCGCAAAAATTAAATTAGCCGTACCTCAAACAAACCCTTATTATAGCATTTAAAGATATTTCATTACATTGCTACTAAACGCGAAACGTTTTTAAGCTTTA